TCGCCCGTCCTCGCCATCTTGGACATCTTCGCCACCTTGGAAGTAGGAGGACTCTTAACAGAAAGACGGGACCCAATCGTCTCCCTATCTACTGCCGTAAGGAAAATAAAGTGTTACCTAGATGAAAAACATCAAGTAAAGGAAGAAAGTGCAAAAGAGTCAACTCACCCTTCCTCTTCAAAGAGGAGCCGCTAGACTGCGGGGTAGCATGAACTCCAGGAACACTTTTGGTCCCACCATCTTTGGACATAAGGACTCCAAAGTCTTTTTCAAGATAAGCTCTCATGGCCTGCAGCTTTCACTCTTGATCCTCGGAGAGCATAGAAGAATCTGCAGGAGAAATGATGAGTAAAAAAAAAATAAAGGAGAAAAAGCAAGTGCAAGGCATACCAAGTTTCTTAGGGACACCCCCATCCTCTTGGTACCAAAGCCCTATCGGCCTCTGCAGCCCACTCTCTGTCGACAAATATAAAGCGAGATTTTCAACTATGACAGTTGGACCGCAGTCCGATGATCAACTTGTCTCTCATGGTAAAATAATACCAACCCTGATTGGGAGCAGGGGTCTCGCTCAATGTATAAGCTCCATGAAACTCCACCAGAGAGGCATCCTCATGGTGCACCTTCCTCCACAACACCAGAAAGCCCAACAAAACCCTCCAACTATTGGGTGACAATCGTCCCAAGGTAAGTGAAAAATAATAGAGAATGCGACAAATATAAGGAGACATGAGGAACTTGAGCCCAACCTCAAGCATTTCCTCATAAATGGGAATGTCCCCAAAAGAGTCATCAGAGGCGGGCTCACCCATCTCAGCTCGGCGGCATAGAACCGTTGAGAGAATGTGATAAGCAGAAACAATCCTTAGAATATCATCATCAGTGTTGAGCAAACTAGAAAGGGTACTTATTTTGGACCCATCATCGTCAAGAGCTATTTTGCCTTTGAGCTTTTTGTTGCGGGGGTGTAAAGAATTGTGTGAGCCACCACCAAGGAGATCCTGAGGAATCTGACTTCGAAGAGTTCCACTCGAAGGAACCAATCCATCACTGACGCCTATTCCCATGGCCGCCTGGGCTGCTCGCCCCTCCACCTCGCGCGCCTAGGCTGCTCGCGCCAGGCTGTCCGCGTGCCTAGGTAGCTCGCCCAGCCTATCCAGATCTGCACCTTTAGCACCCATATCAGCTCCCTGCTTGCCCAAAATAGTCTGATTCTCGCCCAGGATTGCTCCTCTCAGTTTCTACTCGCCCAAAACAACCCCTTTTGAAGCCTCCACACCGGTGCCTAACACCTCCCCCTCTTTTTTGGGCTCTGCACCAAGATTCGAAGACCTCTGAACATCTTTTCCTTCAATCACCATGGCTGCTCTTTGAAATGCTCAAACTCAAGAAGTTTCTTAAAAGATTTCAGGAAGAACACTCCCCTTCACTCTCTCAAGCTACTATAGAATGGATGAAATATAGGCTCTCAAGGGTTTTAGGAAGGAGTTCAATCCCAAGATGAATGAAATAGGCAAGAATGAAGAAGAAAGCTTTCTATTTATACCTAGGGTTTCTTGAAATCAAATAAAGAGCAAAAAAAATCCCAATCTACAACTTAGGGCTCTTTAAGAATGCAAAAAATGGAGTGAAAGAAGGAGTTTATATAGTTAATGGAGTCCTACAGACAAGAGGAGCCTACTAAAAGGAAGGAAATCGCCAACCAAAAGGATTTTTCAAAAAAAAAATTCAGATTTTTGAACGTAACTCAAAATGGAACTTATTATATACCAAATCGAAGCTCTCGATGAGCTGAGCAAAACTCATTAACGTTGATAATGAGCTTTTTAAAAAAAGTCCAAAAAAGGCCTAAAAACAGATGTTTTGGCCTCCTGAAGTTTAAAAAAATAAAAAAATAAAAATTCTTCAGCTACCCACTCGCCCAGGAAGCTGTCTGCTCGCCCAGGACACTATGAACTCGCAGAGAAGCTACCTGCTCACCCAAAACTGTGCACTCAGCTCCATGTTCGCTATTTTGACCGTAACTTTCGCTCCTTTACCTTAAATAAGGCCCATAATATATCAAATCGAAACTCTTGACGAGCCCTACAAGACATTTAACCTTTAGTTGTGATTGATGTTGTTAAAAGCTCAAAAAAGGCCTAAAAACATAGGTTTTGGCCACCCAAAGTTTTTTCATTATGCTGATCAGTCGAAATTTCAAAATCAAATTGAATGCCCTCTTTTCCAAGTTTCGTTAGATTCAGGGCATTGGGGGGCAAATGATGGGTCAACCCCAAAGGTCTGACTCATGTTATAAGCCCAGTCCGAGTTAAAGGCCCAACTCCAAGAGATCCACCAAGTCTAGCTCAATATAGTCAACCCAGACGAGCTCATCAGGGAGCTAAGTCACCAAGGGAGCAGCCAGGAGCCTCACCCTCGCCACCTTGGAAACCGATAAACTCAAGCACCGTAACTGCCTTGCCCGTTGATATGAGGTGCGTCTCCGCCGGATCAGCTACTTAATTACTATAAAATCACTTCAATCCGTTATGACCGCTAGACTAGCTATTCAATTACTATACTGAGCAACTATAAATTGTAAGCCCCACCAACACTTGGGGGGCATCAGACTTATTGGAGTATAATTCTCTCCTCCTCCTCTCAAAACTTATAACTTTTTGCTCTCCCTACACATCAGAGTTAATAAAATACCAACGATTCTTGCCATTCAAAGTAGACGTAGGTCACGTTGACCAAACCACTATAAATCTTGTCTTCTCTCTCCCTCAACTTATTTTACTGTACTTTATACTACTTACTTGACAGGTGGTGTACAAACTAATTTGTGCATCATCAAATTGCGTAAGAAATTCAACATGGACATATATATCTCAAGTTTACTTGATGGGTTGGGTTTCAAAGAATACCACACTTTTATGAGCGCAACGAGTGCCTATATGACATTGATTCAACCACACATGCATATGCGCACCGTTGGGTTGGGTTGGACCATGCTCGGGTACAAGTTAGACCAATCCTTATCTTTTTACAGAAAATTCATTTAACGAATTGAGCGTGAATTTTTTAATTCAAAATTTAATTTATAGTGATGGTTGGAATTCAAATTTTACACCAATTCAAATTTAATCTTTCCTCCAGTCTGAAATTTCGAATTCGTGTTTGTTCCCAATGGGCAGAATTTCATATCTACAAACGAATCAGTTTATACTTTGGGTTAATTACAAATTTATGTGTTAATATTTTGTTCTTACTTGTAATTGTTTCGTTCTTGACTGTTATTGTTTTATTCCAAGTTATATAATAAAAATTAAAATTTTTAATAAATAATTTTACTATATTTGAGAAACCACAAACAACAATTTCTTGTTTGTAAGAATCTCGTCTCTTATTCAGCCAAGTGTCATTAACTCAATTTATTGCACATGAATCAACCACTGCAAATAGTATATGAAGGGGTTGACTCCCATTATTACATGTATTATGGTATTAAATGAGCCCATGTGAGAATGACAAGACAAGTCACGTGACGAGGATGTCGGATACTCAATCAAATGGGTCTAGCCGAACTGGCCAATATGATTCGGCAAGGCTATGAAATAGCTTGACTTTTATCAGACCAAGTTAAACAACGTGTTTGGCAAGTATCAAAAGAGCTCGATTTTCATTATGACCGAGTTGTTCGAAACAGAAGATAGAAAGATAAAAAGAAGCCTTTAACTTAGGCATTTTGAATGAACAAATCAACGAAATTGCAGATATCAGAAGGGATTGCTAGAGAAATATCAGCAACTTTTCGAACTGAATTGCTGAATTGAAGGAAGGTGTGTCACCTTGAATCAAAAATCACGGAAACCCTAATGGAATAACCATCTATAAAAAAAAAGAAGAAACCAAGGTGAAAGGGACGCAGAACTTTCTTTGTCTTCTTCCGTTCGTTTTAATCTCGTTACTGACTTAAACATCAGAGTGCCTTTGATCAAAACACTTCGATCTTGGACAATTTGCTCGTTTTGCAGGAAGGAGATTGAGAATCCAAAGTTCTGAATTCACTCAGTATCAAAGACATCCATTCATCATTTTTGTAGGAAGTATCGTTAATTTTTCGCCTCTTACAGTATAGATTAAATTGTTAATGAGAATTAAATTTTGAAAAAACCAAGCGCATACATATCTTTCAATTCATAAGTGTGATTATTGAAGGACATGTAACTTAAGTATGTATATATTAAATGGTAAAGTCCAATTAGGCTATTTCTGATTGTTTTTCTTGGGGAGTAGGTTTATTTCTAAATATTGCTTTGGACTAAAAAGGTGAATTTATGTGGGAAAAAGTCATTTATGAGAAAAATAAGTATGTATATATCTTTGCTAATAAGGAACCATTCCAATCATCTATAATTATTTTTTGAAATATAATTTTTACTTTCTGAGAGGAAAAAAAAAGAAATATCCCTCTCTTCCAAGAGTAAAAAAATGGGTGTAACGTAAACGTTCAATAATAAATAAACAAGTGACTCATACTTTTTGAATATATGACAAATATTATTTTACATAGAACGGTGATTCTATTTTACAAGTAAATATTAAGCGTGATGATGATATTACGTCATCATTGCTACGTGGTATTACAATTTAATAATAAACGTACAAATAATTAAGGTGAATCTTATTTAAGTAGTTATTAAATAACATAGCAGAGTGATTACTATAATATATGAAATTCACCTATTTATTTGTTATATTTTTATTGAATGGTAATACTACGCCACAATATTGACCGTTGTATCCTTATTTTTCTTAGAAAAATGCTATGCTTACCAAAAAATTTTATCAAAATTTTCATATCAAATAATGTGGCATAATTTCTGTCGTTGAATATTAATAAGATCTACTTATTTCACCTATCCCATCGTTTAAGATAAAAATTTAATAAAAAAAATTGATAAATATAACGTTACCCTTCTCTTAATAGAGTGGAAATAGGGAGGAAAAGAATACGATAGAAAACGTTTTGCCTTGTGTTCTTCCTCCCAGACTTTCCCAAATAAGAAAGATTTTCAGTAGAGTGAGGGAAAAAGTTTGACTGGAAATAGCAAGATCACCTTTTCGTTCCAATATTTAAAACGGAAAAAAACATTACTCTTCACAGATCCCTTATAGCAAAACCCTAGAATTCCAGACACAACCGATTATCACGCTCGCCGTAGTTTCTCTCTCTTTTTTTTTCCCGTCAAAATCCAGCCGTTGATCCATCTATGCCGGTCTTCTCAATCATGCCGGAGTCCAATTAGTGTGTTATATATTCAAATTTTCCGGCAGCGCCGAAGCCATTGCAGGCACCGGTTTTTTTGTCTGATTATTGGGATAGTGTGTCCTGAACTCGGATGGTAATTTAATTTATCTGCACTGTTTTATTGTTTGTATGTGTCACGGTTGATATTATTTCCTTTGGCTAGTTATGTACATTGTTACACCGCCAATGAATTAGGGTTTAATGTGTTGAGAGAGAGAGAGAGAGAGGAATTTGATTGGCTTTTAACCCTTTAATACTGATGTGAATGTAATCAATGAGTACCGAGTTTTCTGTAGATATACTTATCTTTGAATAAATTTAGGGCTTTTTTTTTTGGGTAAGTAATTTGATACTTAAATCGCAGTGAAGATTTGACCAAAAAAAAAAAATCGCAGTGAAGATGGATGATATACATGGGAGTGAGGCACGAATGCACATGGCGGATGGGGCGCAGGTGGTCCACCACCATTTGCATTACATGCAAGAACATGAGCATCATCATCACGGGTTGCACCATTTGAGTAATGGCAATGCGATGGACCATGATGACCACGACGATCATGGTGGTGGAGGGGGAAGTGAAGGGATTGAAGGGGATGTTGGGGCTGATCCTGGTAGTTTGTCTGATAATCACAGTGCATTGGTGGCTCGTGGCAGTGACGAGAATAATAATCAGCTCACTCTATCTTTCCAGGGCCAGGTTTACGTGTTTGACTGTGTCTCCCCTGAAAAAGTGAGTTTTTTCGCTACTTCCCACATTACTTTATTCACACATTATTGCCTTTGTTGTAATTTCATATCCAGAATGCCATGAGTGTCAATGTAAACTGTGTTAGATTGATGGAGAATTGACTTTATTGATCTACTTGATGTACAAATCCCTGTTTGGTTTGAAGCATCAAGTAATCGTGGTGGTTACTGAATTGTACTCCTTTGAATCTTTGCAGATGAATGTTTGTTTACCCTTTGTACTTTCTATGTTGTCATGAATTAGCGGTTGATCAACATGAGGTGGTTTTTATAATAAGACACAGCTTTGCTTTATGCACTCATTAATTAGTAATGAACTAAATAGGGTAACTATTCCCAAATAAGGAGCACCGAAATGCATCATATCTTTGAGGAAATGGGTGTCTTTGTTTGATTAGTGACAGCGGTTAGGCAGGTTCATTCTTATTATGTAAGGTATATGTTTCATAATTGATTTTTTCAAATCAGGATCTGATATGTGCAAGTAATAATTTCGTTCCAGCACTACCTCCAGTATTTGATTGCATCCGGTTCCTATGGTGCAGTTTTGGGCTCTTGAAGTATCGGCGAGCACATTTTGTGTTGCTCTTCGAGTTGCCCCCCTTTTCTCGGCCAATTGGTTGTGAACATTTTTCTTATCATGTTTATTTGAGTCTGGTTGTGTCCCTGTGGGTTTCAGTTATTATTTTCTCTTAGTCTTGATCTTCAGTTCGTCTTGATGTTTTCTTTCAGGTTCAAGCTGTCCTATTATTGTTGGGGGGTCGTGAAGTACCTGTGAGCATGCCTGCTATGTCCGGGAACACTAATCTTCCTAGTAGGGTATGAATGAACAATGGTTTGAGCCAGTTGCATTATCCATCTTAAGTTTTTTCGCTTCATTACCTGTTGATGGAACTTGCAAACAGGGATTATCCAGTACTCCACAATCGCTGAACGTTTCTCAGAGACTGGCTTCATTAATTCGATTCCGTGAAAAGAGGAAAGAACGAAATTTTGATAAGAAAATCCGTTATACTGTTCGTAAGGAGGTCGCGCTTAGGTATTTGGATTTCTTTTCCGTAAACTTGCTACCTTATAAGCTTATGGAAAAAGAATTATCTGATTTACAGATTTACTGTATTTAGAGCATGCAATTTTCTCGTAAACTTGTGATTCCATATATTGAGCTTCCACATTGACTGCACCAGCACAGATGAAGTGATTTTTAAAGTTTTTCCCTATATGTCTGATCATTGCATTACTTCTTCTAAATGTATAAATTGTAGCTTTACATGCTTTGAGAATGCTTCCGAGTTTCAATTAGTCCTCAATAACCTCTTAAATCTACTTTACTAAGTAGAAACTCTTCAGCATTATGTCCTTACATAGACCTTAGTTTTATTTTCCATATGAAGGATCCTGAATGAGCCCATGCCTAGCTCAGCCCATGCTCTTTATGAATAGCGACCAATAACAAATTAGGGTGACCCGGTGCAAGAGGCTCCCGCCACTATTTGGTTTTTATATATCCACTGTCTGCATTGCCCTTTAAATGCTCTTATTTTTTGCTGATTTTTTTTATAAGTAATGTCACTGCAATACTTGAATTCCAATGCTTTATACAATTTCACAATGACTAGTTATTCAAAGATCAGTTCTGGTAACACTCCTGCAGGATGCAACGAAATAAAGGTCAATTTACTTCTTCTAAACCCCATCAAGATGAATCAGCAGTAGCAAGTTGGGACTCAAACCAGACCTGGGGTTCGGAGGGTAGTCGGTCTCAACATCAAGGGATTGTGTAAGTTTGTGTCGTCTTTACGTATTATGTTACTCATCTACGGAATTTGCAACTGTTGTCTAAAACATTACAGGCCACATGGATTCACAATCTGAAAAATTAATTGAACATGATACAAATATTGTAGATTGAAGATGTTGTTGCTTAAATAGAGATGCTATTGATTATTTCCACTAAAGCATATGTATGGCTTTCAGAGGACTTAAGCATACCTACATTGCTGACACAAAACAATCTTTTAAGTACATGCTTTATATGTTAAGCTTAGTCATCAAGTAAGTAAGTTGGATGGGTTCCATAATTTGCTGGCTAATGGAAAGAGAAATGTATGGCCCTGGTTGGGGTCTATGTGACCATTTAGATATCATTGGATAGCAATTTGCACAGCCATGAAGAGCTTTTTGATGAATTGTATGCTCAAATTCGAATTTGTTACGTGCACACTTTTAGGGAAAATATAAATAAATCTAAAATTAGAATCGGGGAAGAAAACCCACTTCAAGGGGGCGAAAACCTCAAATGGCTCAATTCGAGAAGAACCTATCTCCAAAACTTCGCAAGAATGTTTAATACAATATTCAACATATCTATTTCATTGATAGGAAGACCTTTAAATACAAGATAATAAAACTATTTTAATAATTAACTTAGCTTATGACACCACTATTTTAGTAACCACCTAAAAAATTACCCACAAAATACTCTACCACTAACCCAGTTACTAAAATATCAACCTAATAACTACCTCTCATATTACATAAAAATATATTAAAAATATTTACATAACATTCCATCTCCCTTTAAAACAAACTTTGTCCTCAAAGTTTGATTTATTGTGGTGGCCAACCCAATTCCTCGTCCTTGTAACAACCAATCTAATCCATGTTTTCACTACTAAGACAGTAGGTAGGTACTTCTTGGCAAAAGCAACTTCAAGGAAACAAAGCCCACATTTTGGGTTTAACAATTGGAAGAGAACTATTTCGATTCCAGCACGTGACTCCTTAGGAGCAACTTCCATTAAAGCCTTTCTAGCACGGGTGCCATTTTGATTCTTCAACCTTGATTCTATAACAGTGACTAATAAAATAATATCCTTACTTGATGCAACATTTGATTCTTTCTCATTAAAAATAAATATTTCTTCAGGGCTAAATGAGTGATGGTGTTGATCGGTAGTTAAATTTTCCTCTTGAAGAAATCTATGTGATCAACAATTTCAATCACTTGACCATGGATTGTTTGGTGCTAAGTCTAGGCAAGAATGAAGATAAATGCATCTCAAATGGTTGCCCTTTTGCTCCTGTGCTTGAGTAGACTTGAATCTCACTAGAACATGCGTCTTATCTTCCTGTTTTGTTGTGCTCAACTGTCACATGCTTATTGATCCCAATTTGGTTCGTCATCTTCTCCTTCATTTGAGTGGACACACCTTCATAGAGGATTTTTAGAACTTTGTAGAAGCTCACTTGCATGCGTTGACTTTGCTAAAGCATTCTCTTGCACCCTTCATGAAATTCATCACGCATTACCTTCAAAATTTCCGATGAGGTATCCATTAATAGGATCGTCGGCTTTGATACCAATTGTTACGTGTATACTTTTATAGAAAATATAAATAAAATTAAAAATAGAATCGGGAAAGAAAACCCGCTTCGAGGGGAGTGAAAGCCTCTAATGGCTCAATTCGAGAAGAATTTATCTTCAAAACTTCACAAGAAAGTTTAATGCAATATTCAACATTTTCATTTCATTGATAGGAATATCTTTAAATACAAGATAATAAAACTACCTTAATAACTAACTTGATCCATGACTCCATTATCTTAGTAACCACCTAGGAAACTACTCACAAAATACTCTACCACTAACCCACTTACTAAAATATCTATCTAATAATTACCTCTCATACCACATAAAAATATGTGCATAACAGAATTACCCATTGGATGATTTCATGTTAGAGGATAAGACTGGGAGTCATTAGAAAACCCTATGAAAAGGATAGGGAGGAGTAGTGCAGGCATAAATAACTGGCTTGTTGGTACAAGTGAATACTCTAATGGTGCTAGGGGAGGTTTTTTGATTCGGTGTTGGTATGAGGTTTTGCATCAGTTTCTTTGCAGTTGAATCTAATTAAAGACAGAGTAGTAAACCAGTTAGCTCTGCTGCATTGAACCATTTAGGTGTGGCATACTCATTTGCACATCCTTCAGGACCTGTCAGAAAACTTGATGACTTTTTGGGTATTCTATGGTCGACAATTTAAACTTTGAAATTGAAAACCCTAGTGGCAAAAGGCAAATAACTTTCTAACAGAAGCTGTTAAGGTTTGTACAAGTTCCTTTGTGATCAACTATGATCTTACAAAAGATTTTTCCTGTTAAATCGATAGAGTTGAATCATATCTATTGATGTAATATTCAAGTTAATACCGATGCGAAACCTGCTCTTTTTACTACTTGGTTTAATTTTATTTTTTTTTAATTTTTTTCCTTGTCTGTGGAAAGGTTCTTGTTTTTTTCCCAATTTTCTTGGAATTGGAATGTTGCAAGATGAGTCATCACTTGGAGGACCTTACTTGGAGCTGTTGGTTGGTGAGAAAGCTGTACAACATCATGAATTTGTGTAGGATCCAGTTACAGTTAGTTTTAGGATAACATATCTATTTGCAACCTTTGGTAGGATTGACATTTTCCAAATCAAACTGTTAGGGTTTGGGAAATTCAAATCGAACTCTTAGAATGAATTATCTTCTTTTTTTTTTCGGTGGGTCTCTTAGAATGAATGTCATTTTCATGTTTATCATGCATGCAAAATAACAAATCAATTAGCGATCCATTGATAGTTTTTTAACTAAATATTTTTTTCAATGAAAATTAAGAGAAATATGAGTTCAATGGATCAAAATTTATCTGCATTTGATCAACTTGATTTTCTCATGCATGAAGAGCATAATGAGACTATGTAATACAATGGGTGTATTGATGATTAATAAAAGAAAAGGTGCTTTGGTGGGGGTTAAGAACTGTCATTTTTATGGTGTAAGTGGATCTTATTTGTTATGAATATATTGAATTAGAGGCACAATCTTCTTTGCCTTGCATGTTACTTTTGCAAGTAGTCATATTGTCTCATAGCATCATGATTCTGGACACGTTTGTTGTTTATGATATTTAGCATCCTTAAATTTTGAATTCTAAACTTCCGTTAAATTTGTCAGCTGTCGACACTGTGGGATAAGTGAGAAATCTACTCCAATGATGCGCCGTGGACCTGAAGGACCCAGGACCCTTTGTAATGCTTGCGGACTTATGTGGGCAAACAAGGTGAATATGATGGAATTTTTGAAAATTTCTCATTTTTTATGAATCCACTACTTTTCAAGTAATTGATTAAAAAGAAAAAGAAATTTTACTGCTGAAACGGACATGCTAAATCTTATATTTTTCTAGAGCTATAATTTTCTGCTCCCCTACTGGAAATTTAAAGTTTTGTGCAATGTATGTACTTTGGGGCTTCTTTTTGTGACGATACCTTATTTATTTGACTCCGACCTTTTTCCCCTTTTACACGGGCTTTCCACCAAGTTAATTATTGTCCATATAAATATGTCAAACAGCTACGGAATGTTTCAATTTTGGAATTCGCTTTTGTGACTTGTGTTTTCTCTTTTTGTTTTTTTGGGTGTGTTAGTTGCGCGTGACTTCTGTTTTCTTACGTTTTCCTTTCAACCTTTTGTTGATCATATAGGGGACTTTAAGAGACCTCTCCAAGGCAGCGCTGCTTCCAGGACAAAACCCTTCCTCGAATCAGAACGAGGAGGTGGGAGAACTATGATCTCCTTTCTATAGCTGTAGTAGTTCTACCGTTTTTTTGTTGCTAGTTCTGCTTTATGTTTTTGTTTCTTCAGAATGGAAAATTCGTGACTGGGATAATGGGTCTTAGGGTTGCATGAGATTGTAACGATGCCATTAGATTTTGTTGTTCACTAATCTTGTTTTCTCTATCTTTTGCTAATAAAATCGTCTAAATTGTCATTACGAGATTTTGTTGAGTTGATTAGCATTGCAAAAACACAGGTAATTATGAATTTTTGACTCCGATATGTCGGTGAATTTTGGACCTTAGTATGTGTAGATTTGGGAAATTCAACGTGTCAGTAACGTTATTATTTTGAACATTAATGTTTGAGTAATTCTAGCCACACAATAATAATGATATTTTTCGAATTTATTTTTTTATTTAATATTCAAAATTTATTTACTATATCAACTTTTAAGTCTTTTGAGTGCTATTTTTAGTTGGGTGGGGGTTATTTTTATCCGTTTTTTCTATCTTATTTAATTCTTTTATTTTAAACTATTAAATTAACTCCATCTATATTCACATCATTAATAACTAAATTTATCGTATTTATATTTACTAATAAAAATTAAATTTATTAAATTTTATTTCAACTTACTATATTGTCAATGGTCAAAATTTTTTTTTGGTGTATTATTTCGATACGAAAATTTTCAGAAACAAAATAAAAATTAATAAAAAATTGATAATTATTTTTAAAATATTAGTCGAAGTATACTAAAATATTTCAAAATAATATATATCATCTCCGACATTAAAATTTTGCTTTAATAACTATTTTTGTTTCAATTTTTTTGATATATATAATTAATAGTTTAATTGAATAGATATAAATGGGATAAATTTAGTAATTAATGGGGCGATTATAGATAAGGTGAGTTTAGAAGTTTGAAATAAGGGAATTAAACAGGCTAAAAAAAAAGGATTGAAAGGATGAAAATAACCTCACCTTTTTAAATTTTATGTTTGGGTCAGTTTAACGTTATCCTCTATACAGATATTTTCAGTTTTGTAAACAAGACTGTTTTAAGTGTGTTGATATTGACTTGATAACCATGTTCACTGAAAAATGAGTGGGACCCGCCAATTTAATTATCCATTTGGTATTTTAATAATTTTTTTGATAAATAGAATATTACTTGCAATATAAATCTACTAGTTATAAAACTCCAATCAATCCATTTTATTTACGTTAATCAAGGTCAGACTAAGTTTTTTTGTCTACTGCGCTCGCCGTATTGCGCCGAGGGGGGGGGGGCGCTTTTCAATGCTACAAGCATGAAAATCACAATATTCACTTCATTGTCCTACTTACTGATCCCTTAATGGATTGTCGTCTCTTTTGTTCTTTCCCTTGTTAATTAGTGAGATCTTAAAAACTTCATACAATGAATGATCAATCATTCTATTTGTGTTTTCAGAAAGTAGACGACACGAATATAGGCTTTCTATGTTTAATTGAATACCAATTACTCGGATGTCTTTGAAAGCCTTGAAATGACTTATAAAAATAATTATTTTTAGGTTTTTCGTTTTATATCTTCATAACGAAATAGTCCATTTATTGATGGGCGAACAACAGAGATTGAACCCGCTCATCGTAAATTTGCAATCCATTACCTTGATCCATTTAGCCACATCCACTCTTACCATGCACAAGTTTCAAAGTCTATCTATTAGGAATACTAAATAATTTATTTTTTTAATTGTAAAATTCTAATAAAAGACTTACTGAATTTTAATTTTAATTTTAATATAAAAAAGTTTCGAATATCAAAACGAACTTTTTATAAATTATAAATTAAACCGTGATTATAAATTATTTAACACCATCTAATTTTACCACATATTACTTTTCTCCCGTTCTATTTCCCTTCTAATTTTCTTTCCACTTGACCTGCAACGACTTTGAAATATCTTCTTAATATTCCCAAAGTCCACCCCAAATGTTTTAATTATTAAACATGTTTCTCTTGGATTTAATCCCAAGTTTTGTTCGATGAATTATTATTAGAGACTTGGTAAATCCGTCTTCGCCCTCAGCCTCTTTCTCTATGTTATCGTCTTCGTCTTCTCCATTTTTCTGATACACAGAGAAACTCACGCAATCGCTCGTCTAACGAGAGAGATCGCGTGCAGATCTTTCATTTCTATCTATTGATCTAATTTTTAATGCGAGATATGGATCGGTTTCAATTGTTTTTACAAGGATTTTCTGCTTCTGAATTTATGATACGCCACTTATAGGTTAAGATTTTTAGTGCTAAATGAATATTGAGAGAGAGAGAGTGGGAAGAGAGAGAATGGCGAGGAGCAGACCATCGTCGAATAGATGGAGGTATATAAATCCTGCTTATTACTTGAAGCGACCGAAACGTCTCGCATTACTATTCATAACCTTCGTCTGTATAACTTTATTAGTTTGGGATCGACAAACTCTTATCCGAGAGCACGAGGTATTCTTCTTCACTTTTTTTTTTTGTTCGTTTCTTTCTATTTTTCTTTAATTACAATTTTCTTTTGTCAATTTATATCATTTTTTTTACTATTAGATCATTTTTTTTGGTGTAATTGTATCTCTTATTGAGAAAATTCGTCCCTTTTGTTGGTTTTGGGGGCTGTACTTTTGATTTTTTGGTGTGATATGCCTTGTGAAGTTATGGATTATTTGGTTAGCATAGATGATGGGCTTTTATTGCTTTGATAGCAACATTCATGCTCAGAAGATCTAAGAAAATTGTCCACAAAAGCCAAGTCAACTTTATTATGCACACCGTAGAGTTACTTTGCAACTTCGTTGGATATATTACCTTCCTCGGTGGCCCGTGCTTGGAAACAATTTTATTCTCTGGCTAATAAGGAAGCTATAATGTCAAAAAAACAAAAGCAAACTATTTTCAATCATTTCCTTATATGTTCTGTTCTGTGAAGAATGAAGAATGACACAGCATTTGTGGCACTAGGTGGAGCAAGCCGTTTGCTGCGAGTTATGCAAAACCTCAGATGGGATTTCTGGGAATGAATGTTACACTTAATGTTATTTTCATGTCAAATTGGATAGAAACGGTGGTACTATGGTCTGGATGATGTTGTCAGAGGATTCCCAACTCCTTTATTGTCCATTGTCTGGAGTGTGTGCTTCTTTATTCTTCCTTTATTATTAGAAAGAAGGCTTGGAGCCAAGTGAAAAGGGATCAGCAAGCTTAGATGCCTGGGAGAAAGAAAAGCAAAGAAGAAGGAGAGAGAATGAGGCCCTTATCATCTCCCAGTATTATCAATACAATAAGTCATATAAAAAGCAAAAATACTTGTATCAACTTTAGTCAGCCTTCAATCTGGTAACTTCATAGTACACTTAGATGCTCTATACATGGCTACTGTCATGTGCATTTTGTCCATCTACTAACTGATGATTTTTCTCGCAATGAGCAACGAATGTTAAGTCCCTATATTTTTCGAAATGAAAGAGCCAAAGAAAATGATTTTCTAAAGTTTTTTGTTGAGATTTGTATGCTATTTCATATTTTTCAATGGGCAGAGGAGAGTTATTTGTCTTATTACCCCTATTTAGCAAACTTTGTAATGATTTGCAGGAGGAGGTGTCGAAGGTCAATGAAGAAGTGATTCGGTTGCAAAATCTGGTAAGAGATTCAAATTACTTATCAGCGGTCTCTTCACAAGTGTTATGCTGTTTCATTGATCTTGGGATATATCCTTTCCCCCTTCCTGGGTACCTGTGCTTACGTTTTATAACAGTTCCAAGTCGGTGAGAGGGAGTGCAGAATGAGATTGATTTTGCCCTATCCATTGTAATCCACCCCATCTACCTATTGTCTTTCTCTCATGGGATTGCAATTCTTATAATGAATCCTATGTGTTAAGCCTTCTTTATAGTGCTAAACTGCAACTGTGAGGTGTGTCCAATTTATTAGAAACTTCATGTGATCCTTTTTGCTTCTGGTGTGAATATGCAGCAGCATTTTCCTGATTTTGGTTAATGTTTCTGTCACATTCTGATAAATCTTGGTCCAAAATTCCATACAAGTTTACATTCAAATTTATAGAAATGTTGAATAGTTGAGTTGACCGAATAATATTCCCTATTAGAAGAGCTGAATGTTTTCTGTTTAAACTTATCATCACTTCTGTTAAAGTTGCCTGGTTTGCTTACTGTCTAGACCTTACAGGGAATTCATTTCGTCAGATATAAAGTGTTATTTTTATTTTTCATTTTTCAATAGCTGAACATTTGTGGACTGAATATCTAATTGGCACTCACAGCTAGAAGAGTTAAAGGGAGGTCAAGGAATTTCAGATGAAAAGAGGAGCTCTAGTGCCAAAAATAGTGGATTAACGAAAAGGAAGGACGTCCCGGATGATCCCATTGATGTTCAGCGGGGAGAGAGAGTGAAAGATGCTATGGCTCATGCGTGGAGCTCATATGAGAAATATGCATGGGGCCATGATGAGCTTCAGGTTTGTTTTTTTTAGTCTTGCAACATTCCTCTTATTACTTACCAGTGTGTATATATCATTTTTATATGTTGCATGGCATGGGTCCTTTCGCGTGCCCTTGCATGTACTCTTGTTGGAGTTTCTCCCATAGCTTTATGATCCGTCGGTTGGCTAACTTAGTTGACGCTTGGATTATAATTATCCCATGAAAGCTTAGAGTTTTTGAAGAATTTATTATTTAAACTTCCAAATTGTTCAAATTATATTTAACTTTAGAGGATTGAGTAACTAATATGCTTGTTACAAAGGATTGCCAATGGAAAAACAACAGTTATCTTGTTGCATACAAAATGAGTAACTAATATTTGTTTATTTCTTTTATCAGCCACAGACAAAGAATGGCGTTGATAGCTTTGGCGGTCTTGGTGCAACTCTAATTGATTCTCTTGATACATTGTATATAATGGGGTTAGACGAGCAGTTCCTAAGAGCTAGAGAGTGAGTTTCAGCTTTCTTTGTTTGTGTATCTGAAATATCATAGATGAAAGCCTGTGATATTTCAGGTATATGGGTCTTGTTTCTTGTTTGTCATTAGTTACATCATTCTCAAAACGTTTCTGTTGGTTTTTTAAGTTTCTTGTTACCCTCATACCTGCTAGATCAACTAGGTAGTCTTTACAAATTTTAGTTTGTTTTCCTGATCGTCAACGTTGGCCACCACCCTGGTGGTGAAATACAAGAATTACGAAAAGAAAAACTTCATTTTCCGTGACCTGGTCACTGTAGAGGATCAGAGCCTTTTATTAGTTTATTTTTTCACTCATTGATATTCATGAATCTTTCTCTAGCATTGGCATTTGCATATTAGACAGCCCTACCCTGAAGAATTTGACATTTGTACACTTGAGGTTTAGTAAAACCACCATATTTTCTGCTTGTGCACTTTCTATTAAATTTGGTAGTTTGCATCTCTAGTTTCTCTGAATGGCTGTTATATAAATGTAGCTTGGTTTCTTGTTCAATGGCAGGTGGGTTGCAAACTCTTTGGATTTCAACAAGAACTATGATGCTAGCGTTTTTGAGACAACTATAAGGTTGCTATCTAAGGTTTAGTTTGCTGTTTTTTAACTTTTTTTACTCAACTTCTTTCTTCTATTAGTGTAAATAAGTTAAGTGCTGCAATAGTTTTGTGGCTTCTACAATCAGAATGCAGGAAACAGCTAAATTCTTTTGTTAATTGATGATTTCTATTTTCATTCATCCAGAGTTGTTGGCGGACTTCTTAGTGCATATGATCTCTCAGGGGATAAAGTTTTCCTTGAAAAGGCGAAGGATATGGCTGATAGACTACTGCCTGCATGGGATACACCTTCTGGTATCCCTTATAATATTATTAACTTGGCACATGGGAATGCGCATAACCCTGGGTGGACTGGAGTAAGTTCTAGCTTTTGTGTATGTACAATTCAATTTTCCATGAATAGTTGGTTGGTATGACTCAAGTTTGGTGTTCAATTTCATTTTTTCATTGCGGCATAACAAAGATTCCAAACTGGCTCTCTCTTTAAGAGGTGGGTGTGACTTTTCATTAGAAACCGTCTTTATGTAAGTTTGTTTTTTCTGTTTATAAGCACCATCAATTGGTAGGTCAATAATGAACACTTTGTCACTTCAAGTTGATTCTAAAAGCGCAGGCCTTTTCTTTTTGATCAACAATTTAAGTAGTGGTACTAGCTTGTATAGTGTATAATTCCTTGCTTTGTTCTTAGTTGAAATCTATGTACAGCTTCAATTTATTAACCTTATTCTAGCTCTGTTTCTTCCAGCCATATGCTATAAGTAACAAAGGCAACTGTAAATTTCACACTTTTATGTTTTGCCATCATCAGTACTTAGTTACTTGCAGAACCTTTCAATCACCCATTGTTTTATTTAATGCATAAAGGGCTATGTTTAGCTTTGAGAAATGCTTTCATTTGAATTGTCACAGATAGTCTGTGAATGGGTAATATCTAATCCATTATGTACCGTCTCATGTTTCAGGGTGATAGTATATTGGCAGATAGTGGGACAGAGCAGCTGGAATTTATTGCTATTTCTCAGAGGACAGGCGATCCGAAGTATCAAAAGAAGGTACATGCCTTCTGTCTTCATAAGATGCATAATCTTTGGAATATTTTTTGCATCGTTCAACTTCTCACATTGGTACATAAATTACAACCAGTTTAGTTCCTACATTAATGGGGGTCTTGGAGGGATACATTGAACCTGTGGCCCCACGGTCAACTTTTCATATTTGTTGAAATACTATTAAAAGACATCTGATGTCACATGGAAGAATCAATTAAATAATTGGCTTCTACTTTTGGATGGTATTTGGTTCAATTTGTATGGGTATGTTTCAGGTGGAGAATGTCATAGCAAAGCTTAATGAAACCTTTCCTTCTGATGGTTTGCTTCCCATCTACATCAATCCACATAGAGGGACAACATCATACTCAACCATTACTTTTGGGGCCATGGGGGACAGGTACTGACCATTTCATACGAGTATATGGTTATTTGAATTTTTCTGAGCTTTATATGTCTCTGTTTGTCATAACATCCCTTTCGTAGTCTAGATCCTTTTATTATCTATGAGTTCGATGGAGGTTTAGTCAATATAGAATTTTGATTGCAGCTTTTATGAGTATCTACTCAAAGTATGGATACAAGGAAACAAAACTGCTGCTGTAAAGCATTATAGGTGAGTAGCATTTATCTCCATTTATTTTATTTGATCTTAGACTCTTGGCAAAAGTATCATATGTGTCTTGTAAGGCATGTTATTAATCGGTTTTATGCGTTTATCAACCTACTATCAATTGTAGTTTTTATGGAATTTCTGAATGACATCGAAATATCATGCTGCATTGTGCTTGATATTGGCCAACATGACACTGTTGCCCTGTCCTACCTTTTTCTTTAATATTGAGAAGCTCAAATACATGGGAAGCTGACCCTTTTGATAATTTACACTGGTATGTTTTAAAATGAGAGTGAGATTTTAGCTTTTCTATATTCTATTACTTTGAACTTGGTGTACATTCGTTTTTGTGAGTTTTGAAATTCTTTATTGGAATGTTGGAAACAGAGAAATGTGGGAAACATCAATGGAAGGTTTGTTAAGCTTGGTTCGGAGAACTACTCCATCATCTTTTGCATATCTCTGTGAGAAGAGTTGGGAGTTCTCTAATTGACAAGGTAATTTTTGTGTAGTTTACAAGTCTCATGAATGCTGCTTTAACAATTTACTTTTTGGTATTACAATTGCTTCTCTCTTTGTACAAATATGTGCAGATGGATGAATTAGCATGTTTTGCTCCAGGAATGATAGCGCTAGGGTCATCTGGTTATGGTCCTGATGAAGCTCAGAAGTTTCTTTCCCTGGCTGAAGAGGTGATTAATAGATTCTCATAGAACAGAGTTTTTTTACCTTAATGAGACCTAAATTATATGAGATCCTATTGGGGAAACACTTTGTCAGGGCATTCTTGGCCCTCGACATAATACACATATAAAAGGTAGCAATTTGTGCATTGGCCCGCCCTTTTATTATAAGATTCTTATGAACTAGACAAATTTATTACTCGATACTTTAACTTTCCTATTGTTCAAAATTTTTGCCTTGTTAACCTTCTATATTTATCCCGTTAAAAAAAAAAAAATCTATACTATCTCTTCTTTCTTCTTCTAAAAACTTTATATGTACCTTGCTTTCTCTACTAGAAATGATAATGGCTATCCAACTTTGTGTGTGTGACCGACCAAAGAGTTTATGCACTCCCCCCCCCCCCTCTCTCTCTCTCTCTCTCTCGTGTGTTTGTGTGAGTAGTCTTTTATTGATGATCAACTATATCATAATAAAAACTCTATTTTGCATGTATTTGGACTGGGGCCTCATGCCTTACTTTCTTATCAGCTCGTCTCAGTTGATTTCTTACATTTTTAGGCTGTCTTCTACCAATGACCATGTTTTCATGTTATTTACACCTCTATGGTGTTGACTATAGATGCAAGGGAAACTCAATTTTCTTTGGATAAGTTCTTCTACTTCCATCTGCGATGACACAAAGAGCCTATGCTAGTTTCTGCTATTGGATTTGTCATTCTGATTGATATATATGATGTGCCTGCCTTCTATAAAGAAAAAAGCAAACAAATCTTTCTTTTTCCTTCAGCAGTGCTGATTCGTTAGAGGCCAAGACACCTTTTTTCGCGTCCATGATCTCATTTCAATGCATGTTTTCAAGTTAGGGACTTGCTTCTTTTAGTTGGGGGGTAGGTCTGGAAGTTTGGGTCTTTTGATCCAGGGGCAATAGACCAGTGCAGGGTTGTTTGTTGCCTCTCCTGGGTTGGCCCTTGACAGTTTGAGGAAACGTTCATATGCACTCAGGGAAGTTTGTGCTTACACCCAGTTCAAAAAAGGAAAATGTAGTTGTGTTTACACATCAGTCACTGTGACTTGGACTTTCTTTGGCCTTTGTGCAGCTTGCGTGGACATGTTATAACTTCTATCAGTCAACACCAACAAAATTGGCAGGAGAGAACTACTTCTTTAATGCTGGGCAGGTTAGTTATCGTCTTCATTCTTGTGATACTTATAAGGTTTGTCTTCATCTAATGGTTCCTCTATATAAAACATTTTCAGGATATGAGTGTCGGTACATCATGGAACATACTGAGGCCAGAGACGGTTGAATCACTCTTTTACCTCTGGCGTTTGACTGGCAACAAGACGTACCAAGAGTGGGGTTGGAACATATTTCAAGCATTTGAAAAGAACTCCCGCACAGAGTCGGGATATGTTGGACTGAAGGATGTAAGCATTCGTCAAACCCATGATTTCAGATTTGATCTGAGATAATGTCCTGGTTTTGTTTACTTCACATTAGCTTTTATATAAGACGAGACTAATAGTAGTAATCAAAATAATAGTAATGTTAATAATGTGGGCCTCCTCATCCAAGATACATCTTGCCATAACCAATCCAAAAAACATTTCAGTACTCTTTCTAGTTGTGAGAAAGCTTATAATTGTTTTTCCCTGTCCATCCTAGAGGTTGCTATCTTGATTTGTCATATCTATCAATGAATGGTCTCTGAGAGTTTGTTGAGTCATACTCACCAACTTTGATAGTGAACATGTAGCATTTATTATCCTCGGGTACTGCATCTTTGAAATATTGAATTTAGTTTCTCAAGTAACGTCGAGAATAGTACAGTTTAGGTTCCTGCTAGCACAACCAGTTCATAATGATCATTGGCCGTGCAGTGTGCTGTTAAGTATTATTTTGTTCTGAATAATAAAAAATTCTTTCGATCTGTCATCATGGAAACCTGATGTTTCTCAACAGAGATCAAGGTTTTATTTCTGGCTATCATTACTTACAAACAATGATTTTCCCATTTTGTGAGGTAAAGTTTTCTATTCTGGATAACATTTGGAGAAATAAGTATACGGTGTTTTATCATTTGGGAATACATCAGTTGGCCTTTTTTTCCATATTCAACAAATGATGTTTCTGGTGCAATGCGTAATTGTTTTCAAATGAAACACCATCCCATGAACACACTTGCACACCTTTTATGATGAGTTGGTCACAGTGCAAATGTTATTTTTGTACTGCTTTGTGCATGACTGTCTATTTACGGGGATTGCTGGTGTTCCCAGGTTACTACTGGCGTCAAAGACAATATGATGCAAAGCTTCTTTCTTGCGGAGACTCTTAAATATCTTTATCTTCTTTTCTCACCGTCTTCAATCATCCCGCTGGATGAGTGGGTTTTCAACACAGAAGCTCACCCTCTAAAAATTGTCTCCCGGAATGATGAAAAAGAAAACTTTGGAGCATCAGATGGACAACGTAAACCGACTTTAAGGTCACATGCCAGGAAAGAAGGCCGATTCGGTGATAATTAGGATTATTGGCATTCTTATGATTGTTAATTGAACCTCTTCTGAAATTTTGGGTTCTAATTACATGGGAGAGCTGAAGAGTGCATCATTATTGTGCCTGAAAATGGACTGGGCTTCATGAAATAATGCTCTGCTGCTCAACAGATATCACTTATATACATATAGGTGGGCACAATTGTATTTTAGATGAACTATACAGTTCCCAATATTTTTCGAAATTATGGATATGTAACATAGATGTTAGCAGGCATTTCCTTGCTCTTCTTTACTGTTGCCTCTTAGTTGAAGGCTAAGCTATATTCCTTTCTCCAACGGCCATTGTATTGTAATGGGAAGGAGTTTTTGTTAATGATTTCCGCAGCTTTGAGTTGGATGATTATATAACTCGTGTCACTGATGATACGGTGTCACTCTTCTACACTATTTTCCCCTATGTCAGGCTTTGCTGATCTCCGAGAGAGGAATGAGATTATGCTTATTAGGACCGGCAATGCTACACAATCCATTAACCCGACATGACAAGAAATCGATATAGAAGTTATTGAATATGAATTTATAACTTAACTGGTTCAGGTTATAACTCGTTGATTGGTCATACATTTACAACAAATTGATTAAGTATGAACTCGTGTATAATACAGGACATGAATTTGAAACGATGGGCATGTGGTTGTCTGTCACGAATTTTATGGTGTTTCGGCCATTTGATTCTCAAACAATATCCCCACCAAAAAAAGGGTTATCTAAATTTTGGTGCACGATGAACTGTAATAATATGGGAGCTGATACTAATGAGATCAATTTTATAGTAGCCCTTTCCCTTTCAAGCTTATTTGCTTTTTAAATTTCAAAAAAAAAAAAAAAAGAACAGAATGTGTTAACCACTAAATAGCCCTTAAATTATACTTTTTGTGTCAATCAAGCCTCTAAATTATGTTGTGTTAATTTAACCCTTGAACTATATAATCTGATTTGGCTCTTTCATCAAAATTCCTTGTTAAATTTGACAAAAATTTTTACGTGCACATCACATAAGTCAGAGATTAGGGTATAGTTCAGGGGCCACGTAATGTGCACGTGAGGGTTTTCGTTAAAGTTAACGGCGAATTTGGATGGAAGGGTCATATTGATTCAGATTACATAGTTCAGGGACTAAATTGATACAAAACATAATTCAAGGGGTTGATTAACACAAATAGTATAGTTTAAGGGCTAAATATGTAGTTAACTCAAAAAAAAGAGTAAAAATTGGGGGTGAGTCCTCTTAGATAGACTTATAATAACTTGAGGTAAGTCTATTTTTAATCTTATTAATAAGTAATTAAGTTCACTTATTTTTTTTAATCTAAAAAATATCTCTAAGTGTTAGTTTTAGTCAGTTATGGAATGCTAAAAACATTAGTTGCAAGGATATATATATATGGAAACCGGTGATTGAATATAGGAATGCTTGATTTACGACGATAGATTACATGTTTTCCTTAATAATTCAAATTCAAATTTTTAGTCATCAATTTTTATGTTATACATTTGAATAACAAGCTTTTGAGTTTTGGGGGTGTTTTGAAGGTGATAAAAATTGAACCTGGAGTTCGACGTTTTTTGCAGTCGGAGTACAAGTACGAGTTCGAGATCTTTAAGCTGGAGTTCGAGTTCGACTTACTATTTGTTGGAGTTCAGGTTGATCTTGACTTTGTATGCTAAAACAATTTTTTATTCAGATTTCTTGAGGTATTCATTGTAATTAGTTATTTTATCTGCTATGAATAACAATGTTATATTTGTGATTGTTGGAATTTCTATTGTGACGAACTTTACGATCCTTTGAGATTTTGGGGGTGATTTGAAAGTGACGAAGGTTGAAACTGGAATTTTAGATTTTGCAGTCGGACTATGAGTTTGAGTTCGAGTTCGAGATTTTAAAGCTGGAGTACGATTTTGAGTTACTATTTGTTAGAGTTTGGGTTGATCCTAACTTCGAATGCTGGAATTTCTTATTCAAACTACCAGAGTCATTCATTATAATCGTCTGCTTCATGTACTTCGAATAAGAGAGTGCTCTATTGAGATTGTCAGAAACTCAGCAATTGCAGTTGAACTTTACGGTCCTCTTACTGTTATTTGCCTAATTTGATTGTGTTTCTCATGTTACTAATTGAGAATATCACGATTATCTAATGTGATAAGTTATCAATATAATATTTATCTCTCCTGGACTAGATTTGAGCCATGTTACTATTAATGTTACTGTATATGTTACTGTTGATGTTACTATTTTTGTACTAATACAAATAGTGACCAATCGTGCAATAATATTACAAACTCACTTAAAAAATATAACATTAAAACATATTTTCTTAAAACAGGTGATTCTCTAAATAGGAACAAATTTAAGCAGTGTTACTATTCAAGTTATTTTTTGCACTGACAATCTGGACATATTTTCATTTGTTTTTCAAACAAATATATACAAATAATACCCAACCCTGCATATAACAACATATCACTTCTATATATAACACCATATCAGCCTTCTAAAATCAAATGGTTTACTAAGTTGAAACATATTTGATCATGTTACTATTTGAGTTACAATCCAGACAAAGTTTTATTTGTTTTTCAAACAATTCATTACAAACAGATACTTAACCCTACATCAATATATCAATTTAATCTCAAGAAATAACACCAAATCATATTTCTTAAGGCTTTAATACACCATTTCAACCAATTTTCAACCAACAAACCATTACAACCGATTTTTAACCAACCCTGCAGCTAGCTAAAAATGAATTACTTTACAACATTACAAATTCTTATTTTTTTGGTATTTTTTTTTCAATCTTGATATTGTCTTGTAGTGTTCAATAGTCCATGCATTCCTATGATTTATGAATGTAGAAACNTAATATTGTCTTGTAGTGTTCAATAGTCCATGCATTCCTATGATTTATGAATGTAGAAACCATCTCTATCCGTAGAGCTTTAACTTAAGTTGGTTTTCAGTTTATCTTCTATTTTTTTCCCACGGAAACATCACATGGTAGCATCAATATCTAACAAACATATAATAACATATTGCAAAATCAGATTACCAAAGCATGCCTACAAATTTAATTGATTTTTTTTTTCTCACAAATCATATATTGGAAAAAAGCTCACAACACATAATGAACATAAGATAATTAGTAAAAAAATGTGAAAAAGTAACATGAGTAGTGCAAGTCAAGTACTTGATGTTAACATAGTAACATCAATTTCAAATCGTAATTTATTAACACGTATCATAGTAATATCCGTCCATATACAATCTTAATTTTTAGTGTTAAATTTTTTAGATTGAACATAAGACATTAAGAATAATAATGTCTAAAAATAACATGAAAGTTAAGCCCAATACTTGTGATATCATAGTAACTATTGTTCAGTAACATCATTTACAAATTGTAAGTTAATAACATAAAATGAGTCAAAGTTCTTGTTGAAGATTAATTATATTATTTGAATAAGTAACACCAAATCGTAAAGCTAATTAAAGTGCACAACAACCAAGTGAAAATTTTGGAAATTAAACATCTCTTTTTTTTTTCCGTAGTAACACAACGCTTCAATTTTGGATTGTTTTTCACAAAAAAACACTACACAAATTGAAAAATTAAATTATTTCAATTAGTAACACATAATCGTAAGTTGAATTAGGACAACAATAACAATTGTGAACGTTAAGAAGTCGAATATGTAACATCAAATTTTTTTCCCATCACAGTAACATCAATGTTTTTCCACAATAACACAATGAAGCAATTTTTGATTGTTTTTTTCAATAAACGATACACAATTTGAAAAATTAAATCATTTAATTTAGTAACACCGAATCGCACATTGAAATTAGGAAAACAAAAATAAATGAAAATTTTGAAAATTAGAATATGTAGAATATGTTCTGAAACCGTAGAATGAACAAAAATTTTCCTATAACATCACATACTTGAACCCTAATTCTGAATCCAAAAATGTAGAAGATGTTTTGAAATCCTAGAATGAACAACAACTTCTTCAATGGATTCCACAAGAAACTGGAGAAGCAAATCGAATATAGTATTAATTGAAATGATTTAGTTTAAAATTTAAATTTGAACGATTTTTAAAAAATTTAGGTTACATGTTTGTTGTAGAACGAAACATCGTGGTAGTAAAAATCTTTGCCGGATTTGTAGGCGTTGCCCAGATTTGTAGGTGTTGCTGGATTTGAAGGCGCCAATTGTTGAAGGAGTCGATTATTTCCGTTTGTGAAAGGGTTTTTTCAAACGTCGTTTATTTCTTTCTAAAAGAAAGTGATAATTTGATAAAATTGACAAAAAATAAAATTCATAGAAAATAAGTTTTATTTATAGATTTATCTCTAAATAAGTCTATATAGAGGGATCGGCTCCAAAATTTTCAAAAAAAATTATGAATATGCGACAAGTTGGGCCTCTAAATTGGTCTTGAATGAACTAGGCTGAGAACTGACTGCTGAAGTTCAGCCCGGTCCACGAACGGAATGAGGAGCCACCAAGACTTTTGAACTTGGAGAGGGAGAGAGAGAGAGAGAGAGAGAGAGGGAACAGTGGAAATTTCGGAGGAGGTATATACCGTTGGACATGGAGAATCTTTAGAGAACCCTTTTCCCTACTCTCTGAAACTAATCCTCAATTTCAAAACCCTAAACCCTAATGTTCTAGAGATTCTTTAACAAAGATGCTTAGAATATAGCATGCGGAGGAAGAAGATAATCATTACCCCACTCCCCTTTGTATTGATGCGAACGTCTCGTTTTCTCACTCGCTTTCGCGACTATTCTACCTGCAGCTCCCAATATAGCTCCACACACCTCGCTCTGTCCAAAGTCTCTGAAATATACGATTCATTAGAACCTCCGAAGAAGAAACCCACCGAGTATTATGGGTATTTGCATACTCAATTCACTGGAGGTCATAGGTTTTTCAAGTCTCCAATCGCATTGCAAGGTTTTGTTTCCGCGAATTGTTCACGACGGGTCAATTCGTTAGCTTCGATTTCTTTAGATTCTAATCATCATTACTCCTTCCACCGCAGTGAGTTTTTTTTTTTTTTGATTAATTGACGTGATATATCCTACTTTGGAATTATATATGAAGGCTGCAAGTTTTGACATTGTTGTGTGTTGCAGGTTTTTTCACTAGAACCAAGAAAATAAAGGCTATAGATGTTGATGATCATGGGTAATGTGTCTTTTCTCATGCTAATAATTGTATTCTACTATGAGAGATCTATTCATTTAACTTCGTTTTTTAGTTCACTAGGCTGTTCCGACAAGGTTATTAATTGTTTGGAAGAGGGGAGTAACATTAGGCTGCTTTTAGGTTGAAAATACAATGGGGCAATTTGAATTGGGTCCTTATTGACTCAGTACTCTTCCTAACCCACTGTTCCTTTGTAATTGCCCATTAGAATTAGACACTCTTAAGTAGCATCCTTTTTGGCTGATCAACTAAGGTTTGATAGGAGAGGCAATATTCGATTAAATTTGGGCAAGACATCCATTATAGGGAATGGTGGACTTCAGAATACTCCTTTCACCTAGATAATTACAAAAACGAAGGGTGGATTTTTTGAGCAACTTAGCATAACGCATGACTAGCTATTCAAGCTTTTAGAAGCAATTATCACAGTTTTGGGGTGATGAGATGAACTAAGTTTATGCACATCAACCAGGGTTGATGACATCAATAGATGAGGATGCTAATATTGTCTTTCTAGATGTTAACTTTGCAAGATGATCTTTGTTTCTTACAAGTTACTTTGATGCATCATACAATGGCGTAGTTGAGGATACTGGGCACATTATATGCTATTTACAAGTAAACGAGATAACAATGAGGCCGCCCATAGAATGTGTTTGCATAGTGAAATGCATGATGCATATGAGTCTACATTCTTGAATCAGAATGCCATTCTCCTTGTCACTGATTAGATCCATTGACATGCTTAAATAACAGCATAAACTCGTGATTTTTCTATCTAACTGGTATCTTGCGTATGGGTAGTTTTATATACATATGTCTCTACTGAACTCTGACAATGCTTTAACTACTGTCCTGTCAAAATAGAAATAAATAAGTACTATAATTCTTTTTCTCAGATTTTTAATTAGTGAACAAATATTGTGATTCTCTTTTCATCCATTTTTTTTTTTGTTTTGGTTTCCTCGTCTTTTATTTTTTGGCTTGTCCAAAATTTTAACTCCAGACAGAGAGCCGTCACGACTGCATTATGGTGCAACTTTCTTGTCTTTTCACTCAAGTTTGGGGTCTGGTTAACTAGCTCAAGCCATGTCATGCTGGCTGAAGTTGTGCATNTCTTTTTTGTTTTGGTTTTCTCGTCTTTTATTTTTTGGCTTGTCCAAAATTTTAACTCCAGACAGAGAGCCGTCACGACTGCATTGTGGTGCAACTTTCTTGTCTTTTCACTCAAGTTTGGGGTCTGGTTAACTAGCTCAAGCCATGTCATGCTGGCTGAAGTTGTGCATTCAGTTGCTGATTTTGCAAATCAGGTACCAAGGTCCCATTGAGCTCATTGTTGTCAATCTTCTTGCTACCATTCTTATTATTCTGTTTTGCATGTTGAACTTTATACCTGACTTCAAGAATGCAGAGAATCTAATTCTTGTTGGCCTTGTAGGCACTTCTTGCATATGGGTTGAGCAGTTCAAGACGTGCCCCAGATGCTCTCCATCCGTGAGTGTTTCATTTTTAACATAACCTGGACCACTTTCACATCAAGTGGTACAGACACATGTAGATGCATGCACTCACACATATACTTGTTTATTGAGAAATTTCTTATATGAATGTGCTAAATCCTTTTTCTTTTTTCTATCAGTTATGGTTATNACGGGTTGAGCAGTTCAAGACGTGCTCCAGATGCTCTCCATCCGTGAGTGTTTCATTTTTAACATAACCTGGACCACTTTCACATCAGGTGGTACAGACACATGTAGATGCATGCACTCACACATATACTTGTTTATTGAGAAATTTCTTATATGAATGTGCTAAATCCTTTTTCTTTTTTCTATCAGTTATGGTTATTCCAAAGAGAGATTTGTTTGGTCATTAATATCTGCTGTGGGTATCTTTTGTCTTGGTTCTGGTGCCACAATCGTTCATGGGATTCAAAACTTGTGGACTTCACAGGTAGTCAAAATGATGGACTTTTATGTTGACAAATATCTATTTCCATCATTCTTGAAGAATAACTGCTCCCCCTTTACATGCACTAATCAATTTATATGCCTTTTACATTTAGCCCCCTGAAAATATGCAGTATGCAGCATTGGTGATTGGTGGCNCTATTTCCATCATTCTTGAAGAATAACTGCTCCCCCTTTACATGCACTAATCAATTTATATTCCTTTTACATTTAGCCCCCTGAAAATATGCAGTATGCAGCATTGGTGATTGGTGGCTCATTCCTTATTGAAGGTATTACTCCTTCCACGTTATCTGGCTGCCGATTGTAAAAATGTTACTTGTTTGTTGGCTTCTCTTTTCGTCTTCTCCTCGTAAATAACATGGACCTTCCTTCAGGTGCTTCTCTTGTTGTGGCCATACATGCTGTCAGAAAAGGTGCAGCTGCGGAAGGAATGAAATTCAGTGACTATGTCTGGCGTGGTCATGATCCCACAGCTGTTGCAGTCATGACAGAGGTAATCACTTGTTTTCTTATGATCGCTCCAGATTAATTTATTATAAAGTTTGTAGCTTTGTAGCCTGAGAATTTTTTGTGCCATAAATTTCAAAATCATTGTGTTAACTGCAAAGTGTGATATAATATAGATGGCTTACTACGGTACCGGTTGAAAGAGTGATATAATAAAGAAAGACATGATAACTTATGGTTTAATAGAGAGTATGACCCATGATAGAACACAATGGCAACAGAGGATTCATGTAGCTGACCCCAAAATGTTGGGACTTAGTTGAGTTGAATTGCGTTAACTGGAAAGTGTCTTATATTGCAAAATCTTTTTGCTTTCGATTTTATCATGAATGTCACAGCTCTGGTTTCATTTGATATTAGCATTGCATCCACCTTATAAGTTTCCATTGGTGCTTGGTGTTGTAAATGCATTTATGAATTCAATGCTGGAGCAAAATGCTTTTCTAGAATTCAATTCTAAACTTACCCAAACCTGAATGTAACCTTACGTTATAGGCAAGGAATAATTTAAAAAAAATAGCCAGGAGTCTTGCAAACCGCTGCACACCAACATCACAGCATTTTGGTTGTCACTCAAGATATCTCTAAGTTGTCACTTTGGGTGCCTTCCATAAAGTTGGCGTGACGCAACATGCTCACAAAATGATAGTATTCCAGGGTTTTTAACTTCTGCTTGACAATCAGCACCATATAAGACAATACATACGGTACTGAAGATGTCCTTGAGCATATGCCCTCTGGGTAATAGATGTTTTAGTGTATAAGATTTGGGATATATTTCTCTATTAGAAATATTTATGAACTCGTGATAATATCACGTTGTCTGCAAATGGCATTTGAGTGTAAATGACAGCTATTATATTGATGTAATCAGACGCAATTTTCAAAAATTGCCATATCTTTTAGTCTAAATGGCAGTTATCATATTGAGGTAATCAGATGCAATTTTAAAATATTGCCATATCTTTTCAGGCTGGCTCTTACCTTTCCTCCACCCCATAAGCATGGTACTGCTCTTAATGCTTTTATCTATGGCCCTTAAAAGTTATCTCACAAATGCAGGACGGTGCTGCAGTCACTGGCCTTGTCATTGCTGGTGCATCATTGGTTGCCGTGAATACGACAGGGAATGCAATTTATGATCCTGTTGGGTCCATTATAGTGGGAAACCTTCTTGGATTGGTATGCCATATGAAAATACTTTTTGATCATAAATAAGTCCCAATATTGAGGTAATATATGATCCACTTTATTGTTCTAAAATTTAGGTGGTGAAACTTGAGAATGGCTTATTGGATCATGTCAGTTAATTTCTAAATATGAGAGAGATAAATAATAATCAAAGAATATGTGTCTTTGTATTTCTTATCTTCTGATGGGGTGCGCGTTCCTGCCTGGACTGGAGGGGTGTGGAGGGGTTGACTATCCTTTTTAAAAAAACTTGAAGCTTTCTGATCCAAATTTTTAATGCAGGTTGCTATATTTCTTATTCAAAGGAATCGGCATGCTTTGATTGGTAGAGCAATTGATGATCATGATATGGAAAAGGTTCTTCAGTTTTTGAAAAATGATGCGGTACACTCTTCACTGTGAAACTTGTTCTTCTTCATAAGTTGGCGATGATCATGTTTAACAAACATGACTTTTGGTTGAAGGTTGTGGATGCTGTATATGATTGCAAAAGTGAGGTGATTGGGCCTGGTTTTTTCAGATTTAAAGCAGAAATAGGTGACCCTTCCATTCATATCATTCACTTTCCTGATTTTCGAGGAATCTTTTTGTTAGATACATCATGATATACATAGAGATTAGATTAATGAGAGTACCAGCATCTTCTCTGCTGTGATAACACACTCCTCTTGGAGAAAAAAACACTTAATACACTGGCAAAATCTCTGACGTTATATTTGCATGTTGCGGATTAATATACTATGATGTACTCTATATCTCTTTACAAAAGCCACGATCCTTCCTGATAGATCTGGGTTCTTTTGAGGCCATTATTTCCTATGGATCTATGGCATTCATGTTCATTTGAGAAATGGGCCAAGGACTAGGAAACCCATCCTAGTGTTGACTTGAGAATGGAAGTAGGTAATTTTTTTTCAGAAATACTAAAAAGCTAGGAAGCACCGATACGGTTACAATACAGATACGGAAATACCCCAAAAAATAAGATACGGGTACGACTGAGATGCATCTATAATTTTAGTATTATGTAATGACTTGATGTCTATAATTTTAGTAATTCTTTAACAATAATAAACAACATTAACAATTTTTATTTTTAAAAAGTTATCTATCGTCTCACTATGATACATATACAAAGTGAATGTGATTAATTAAAGGAATAAGAATCAACATTTAACTATATTGTTTGCTCAAAAGTATTTATTACTAAGATTATAGAGTAATCAACTCATTTAAACTCTTTAGACATGTGATAATGGATAATACTTGGAAAACACTCATGTGTCTTCCCAACTCATGATTTTTTGTTAATGTATTGCGTTGTATGTTAAATCCAAAGGAAGGGGTAAAAGATTAAAACTAAAAATTATATATACTTCTCTGCATATATAAGTATTCGCGAAGTATTCATATATTTTATTTATTATTGGATACATTTGGTGTGTATTCGATACGTATCCTCGAGTATCGTATCCGATATGGATACGTTGATCTTGATGAAATATACGTGTTTCATAGCTAAAAAGATTCCAAGATACAAAATATTCAAATTCAACTGTTGAACAGTCATTTAGTTGATTTTGCTTCAATTTTGGGAACCTCAGTGTAGTAAGATGAATCAGTGTAGTAAGATGAAGCTTTGTGCTGCAGATTTCAATGGTGTGGTGTTGGTGCAGAATTATATAAACAGAACTGGTCGTGAAGGGTGGGCTAGACAGGTTACGATTGCAATCTCTCTTTTTTTTTTTGGCTTTATATTCATTGTTATTTTTTGGGTTTTCCTACCACAACTTCACTGCCTCTTACTTTCAAATATGATACCTCAAGCTGTCTGCGTTTTCAGGCAAACAGCCACACCAATACATACAATTTTTTTTTTCCGGTCCTTTTTTCTTCTTCCCTTCATCTTCGCCTTGGGTAATGGGCTTAATGGCATATATGAAGCCGCCTCTTAATCACATCTGATAAGTCCTACCAGTAGTTAATTTGTGCTCGTTTTAGAGGCAGTGCTGCCCTCACCATGATTCTTCGAAGTTTTGATCTTCTACATGTGAGTCATCTCAAATCTACACATGAAAAATTACCTAGCTCAGTTGTGATAGATGAAAAGTGGATCTCATGTGGCCTGATCGAACATGAAGAAGCACAGAAAAGGGGGAGGTTGGGTTGGCAGATGGACTTCAGAAGTGACTACATTTATAAGCACTTTTGGCGTGCCTTACTATCTCACATTCATTGATTTTTATGATATCATGTACAGTTCCGAGAAGCAACAAAGGAGAAGGATGAATCTGCTCTACTAAAAGTCATGTCAAATTATGGTATTTATTGCCATAATAGCTAAGGTTTGTTGAACTGAACTTGCCATGCAGTAGTAATAGATTTTGTTTAATGGCAGGTGAAGAAGTGGTTACTGCTCTAGGAAGTGAAGTTGATAGGCTAGAGAAGGAAATCCAGGAAATTGTTCCTGGCATTCGGCACGTTGATATTGAGGCCCACAATCCAATTGGTCCATCCCCATGACATGTGGATTTTAATATGTAAGCATTAATTTTGCATTGTTCTTTTTTTCCCCCCTAAAATGAATCAATTATTTTCAAATATCCAACAGAGAGATGTCCTATGCAAGGCTTCCAGGATGTCACATGAAACCAATCTGCAATGACACGTGTGTAAATGTTTATAGTCAGTTTATAATTGTTGTTGATGTATCATGTATGAGTCCTTTATTTGGTTTTGTTTTTCCTTTTTTTCGGGCATTGGGAATGTTATTGTTTTGCTTTTTCAAAGGAAATACAGTGCATGCGTGAGCGCTCATATCAGCCAAGATGGAAGGAACCTTAGCTAGGTTTACCATTTAGTAGTGAATGGCCCTCTAGCCAATCTAATGTAAAAGCCTCAATTATAGAATGGTACATGCAAGCTAAAGTTGAGGTTCTGTTGCTGGAGGTTTTATAATCTTTATTGAGGATGGGTAAATGTTGATGGATTTTCTGGTGCAATCCTGGGGGGCGAGGGTTGAATTGCATGCCCTGTCGTGTAATTGTTTTTCAGACATACCATTCTTGAATCTGAATTCTGTGTGTTGTGTGTGTGTGTCTTTTCTGGAGTTGAATTCAAATTTCCAGAAACAGTGTTGAGGGAGGGAGGGAAGTGGGAATCAGTTTAATCCTCCCTCTACCATGATCCTAAATATGCTGAAGACTTTTTAGTAGAAGCTGGTCTGTCTAGCCAAGGGATTATATGCTGCTACTGGCGTTGGGTTGTGATTTGGTTCAGGGTGATGAAGGCTTTCTCTCCAACATGGCCTCTGTATATATGACCAAAATTGTTGGGTTTTTTTTTTTCCAAACGGTCAGGGTTGTTCAGTTTATTTATGCGCATCTCGACTAATTTTTTTCCTGGTTTGGTAAAAGATTGATCATCCATGATAAGATTAAGGTATTTATGAGAGATAAATTTCTTATAGTATGACCACAAGGAGTTTCTAAGTTTTAAACTAAGGATGTTTGGATTTTCATCTGAGTGTTCTGATAATTATACCACATCACCATCAACGCTGACAGCCTCGCAATCCCCAACTCCGGCACTCAGTGCACCATCACCACTAATGGCTGCTCAGTGCACCACCACCACTAGCTGTGCCGTAACCACTGCATCTTCACCATTCAACTCAATTTTGCCTCTCTCTTAAAGCTACCTCAGTGCACCAGAACTTGAAATAAAAAACAAAAATCTCAAAATTTACAATTAAAATGAAAAATCAAGAATCAAAATTAAAAGGATTTACTTTGTACTCTGAAAAAATTGAAGAATTTTATTTTGTAACCTCAAAGATTAATTTTTTCATATTACACCTTCAAATGTAGTAACAATATTATAATGTGATTTATTCGTTATTTTTTTTTGTCCAAAATAATCCATTGATACCGACGAAAAAATTAATAGAAAGTGATTATGCTTGAAATCAACTGGACTGGACTATAGAATAGCTTGTGATGCGGCCCAATAAGTGTGTATTGTATATGATGCAAGATAAAGGCAACAATATGAGTGGTTCGTCTTAGTCAAAAGACTAAGGTTACGTTCATTGTAAGGGAGGTTGTTGCTCTTTTAGAATTTATATTGCTTGAGGAAGAAAATTGTTATTACAAACTGTTTGATTTGAAGCCTTTTACAGGATATTGTTTAGATTACAGTTGGGTAGTTTTTCTCAATGGCCTCCTTTGCATTGTGGTATCATTAGCTATTTAAATATTTGGTTGTTAGGATTTCATGTTGATCTTTTTTTGCTGATTGCGTGGTCCCTTTTGTGTTTGTTTTGTTCTTGGAGTTGTGGTATTTGACGCCTTTCTATTCCCACTATTCGTCGGCTGCAGTACATGATCCATCTCCACTACTTGTGGATTTTCATTCTTCAAAGTTGTTAAGTAATGTTCTATTGTCTCCTGTCCACGTGTCATGTTGTAGTTTTTGCAAATTGGTTTAGTGCTGTACTCCCAACTTTTTGAGTTGAAACCTATATACTGAGTTTGTTAGCATCGAACCTCTTCGGAATTGGGCCGCGGTTCAATTTAAACCCAATGAAAGTTGTTTGAATGAGATGTTTGAGTCACTTTCTGCGAGTCTAGGGGTGTTTGGGATCTAGGAGTGGTCTACACTTAAATCCATCGTTATCAGAAAGCTAATAAAATAATCATATAGTAACACTACTGATAAATTGAAAATACAAGAATTNAGAAGTATTCGCAAAGTATTCATATATTTTATTTATTATTGGATACATTTGGTGTGTATTCGATATGTATCCTCGAGTATCGTATCCGATATGGATACGTTGATCTTGATGAAATATACGTGNATAAGTATTCGCGAAGTATTCATATATTTTATTTATTATTGGATACATTTGGTGTGTATTCGATACGTATCCTCGAGTATCGTATCCGATATGGATACGTTGATCTTGATGAAATATACGTGTTTCATAGCTAAAAAGATTCCAAGATACAAAATATTCAAATTCAACTGTTGAACAGTCATTTAGTTGATTTTGCTTCAATTTTGGGAACCTCAGTGTAGTAAGATGAATCAGTGTAGTAAGATGAAGCTTTGTGCTGCAGATTTCAATGGTGTGGTGTTGGTGCAGAATTATATAAACAGAACTGGTCGTGAAGGGTGGGCTAGACAGGTTACGATTGCAATCTCTCTTTTTTTTTTTGGCTTTATATTCATTGTTATTTTTTGGGTTTTCCTACCACAACTTCACTGCCTCTTACTTTCAAATATGATACCTCAAGCTGTCTGCGTTTTCAGGCAAACAGCCACACCAATACATACAATTTTTTTTTTCCGGTCCTTTTTTCTTCTTCCCTTCATCTTCGCCTTGGGTAATGGGCTTAATGGCATATATGAAGCCGCCTCTTAATCACATCTGATAAGTCCTACCAGTAGTTAATTTGTGCTCGTTTTAGAGGCAGTGCTGCCCTCACCATGATTCTTCGAAGTTTTGATCTTCTACATGTGAGTCATCTCAAATCTACACATGAAAAATTACCTAGCTCAGTTGTGATAGATGAAAAGTGGATCTCATGTGGCCTGATCGAACATGAAGAAGCACAGAAAAGGGGGAGGGTTGGGTTGGCAGATGGACTTCAGAAGTGACTACATTTATAAGCACTTTTGGCGTGCCTTACTATCTCACATTCATTGATTTTTATGATATCATGTACAGTTCCGAGAAGCAACAAAGGAGAAGGATGAATCTGCTCTACTAAAAGTCATGTCAAATTATGGTATTTATTGCCATAATAGCTAAGGTTTGTTGAACTGAACTTGCCATGCAATAGTAATAGATTTTGTTTAATGGCAGGTGAAGAAGTGGTTACTGCTCTAGGAAGTGAAGTTGATAGGCTAGAGAAGGAAATCCAGGAAATTGTTCCTGGCATTCGGCACGTTGATATTGAGGCCCACAATCCAATTGGTCCATCCCCATGACATGTGGATTTTAATATGTAAGCATTAATTTTGCATTGTTCTTTTTTTCCCCCCTAAAATGAATCAATTATTTTCAAATATCCAACAGAGAGATGTCCTATGCAAGGCTTCCAGGATGTCACATGAAACCAATCTGCAATGACACGTGTGTAAATGTTTATAGTCAGTTTATAATTGTTGTTGATGTATCATGTATGAGTCCTTTATTTGGTTTTGTTTTTCCTTTTTTTCGGGCATTGGGAATGTTATTGTTTTGCTTTTTCAAAGGAAATACAGTGCATGCGTGAGCGCTCATATCAGCCAAGATGGAAGGAACCTTAGCTAGGTTTACCATTTAGTAGTGAATGGCCCTCTAGCCAATCTAATGTAAAAGCCTCAATTATAGAATGGTACATGAAAGCTAAAGTTGAGGTTCTGTTGCTGGAGGTTTTATAATCTTTATTGAGGATGAGTAAATGTTGATGGATTTTCTGGTGCAATCCTGGGGGGCGAGGGTTGAATTGCATGCCCTGTCGTGTAATTGTTTTTCAGACATACCATTCTTGAATCTGAATTCTGTGTGTTGTATGTGTGTGTGTCTTTTCTGGAGTTGAATTCAAATTTCCAGAAACAGTGTTGAGGGAGGGAGGGAAGTGGGAACCAGTTTAATCCTCCCTCTACCATGATCCTAAATATGCTGAAGACTTTTTAGTAGAAGCTGGTCTGTCTAGCCAAGGGATTATATGCTGCTACTGGCGTTGGGTTGTGATTTGGTTCAGGGTGATGAAGGCTTTCTCTCCAACATGGCCTCTGTATATATGACCAAAATTGTTGGGTTTTTTTTTTCCAAACGGTCAGGGTTGTTCAGTTTATTTATGCGCATCTCGACTAATTTTTTTTCTAGTTTGGTGAAAGATTGATCATCCATGATAAGATTAAGGTATTCATGAGAGATAAATTTCTTATAGTATGACCACAAGGAGTTTCTAAGTTTTAAATTAAAGATGTTTGGATTTTCATCTGAGTGTTCTGATAATTATACCACATCACCATCAACGCTGACAGCCTCACAATCCCCAACTCCGGCACTCAGTGCACCATCACCACTAATGGCTGCCCAGTGCACCACCACCACTAGCTGTGCCGTAACCACTGCATCTTCACCATTCAACTCAATTTTGCCTCTCTCTTAAAGCTACCTCAGTGCACCAGAACTTGAAATAAAAAACAAAAATCTCAAAATTTACAATTAAAATGAAAAATCAAGAATCAAAATTAAAAGGATTTACTTTGTACTCTGAAAAAATTGAAGAATTTTATTTTGTAACCTCAAAGATTAATTTTTTCATATTACACCTTCAAATGTAGTAACAATATTATAATGTGATTTATTCGTTATTTTTTTTTGTCCAAAATAATCCATTGATACCGACGAAAAAATTAATAGAAAGTGATTATGCTTGAAATCAACTGGACTGGACTATAGAATAGCTTGTGATGCGGCCCAATAAGTGTGTATTGTATATGATGCAAGATAAAGGCAACAATATGAGTGGTTCGTCTTAGTCAAAAGACTAAGGTTACGTTCATTGTAAGGGAGGTTGTTGCTCTTTTAGAATTTATATTGCTTGAGGAAGAAAATTGTTATTACAAACTGTTTGATTTGAAGCCTTTTACAGGATATTGTTTAGATTACAGTTGGGTAGTTTTTCTCAATGGCCTCCTTTGCATTGTGGTATCGTTAGCTATTTAAATATTTGGCTGTTAGGATTTCATGTTGATCTTTTTTTGCTGATTGTGTGGTCCCTTCTGTGTTTGTTTTGTTCTTGGAGTAGTGGTATCTGACGCCTTTCTATTCCCACTATTCGTCGGCTGCAGTACATGATCCATCTCCACTACTTGTGGATTTTCATTCTTCAAAGTTGTTAAGTAATGTTCTATTGTCTCCTGTCCACGTGTCATGTTGTAGCTTTTGCAAATTGGTTTAGTGCTGTACTCCCAACTTTTTGAGTTGAAACCTATATACTGAGTTTGTTAGCATCGAACCTCTTCGGAATTGGGCCGCGGTTCAATTTAAACCCAATGAAAGTTGTTTGAATGAGATGTTTGAGTCACTTTCTGCGAGTCTAGGGGTGTTTGGGATCTAGGAGTGGTCTACACTTAAATCCATCGTTATCAGAAAGCTAATAAAATAATCATATAGTAACACTACTGATAAATTGAAAATACAAGAATTGAAACAAAATCGAAATCAAAATTGAAAATCGAACTACATAGAGTACAGTCTACGAAGGGCAAACCCATTCAGGGGCTCCAACTTGAAGACTCTATATATCTTCGTGAGAGATTCGCAATTTTCAGTCAAAAGTTTAGGGGGGACGAGGTCGTGGTGGTTGATCGAAACACGTTGCAGATCTTGACGGTGAGGTGGGTGATCGTACTCGTGCCTGTTACCTTGACGAATGAGATGTATGGAGTTGATTAGTGTACGGTAATTTCAAATGTTGTTTATCATTTTATTGTTGTTTCAATCTTATGTACCAAATAGTTATTATTAATTTCTAAAAGTGTGTTTAGGGCAAAAATTAAATTTGGGTAAAATAAAATGAGTAAAAAACTTCATTTGATATGAATCTCTATAATGGGAAAAAAAAAAAAAAAAACTCAATTTCATACTTAAATCTTTCTAAAAAAAATTCTTTTCTTTAATATTTTTTCATCCAAATTGTTCCATATTGCGAAACCAAAATTGGAACTCGAAGGAGGAAGCCTGAAATTGTTCTAGATTACAAAACCAGATTGGCTGTGAAGCCTGAAGGAGGAATGAAGTGGAATTCGAAGGCCAGGACTGAAGTGGAATTCGAAGCCTAAAACGAGGAAGGAGGAAGTTTTTGGCGGTGAAGAAGCTTTTGGCAGTTTGCACCATAGTTTTAAGGGTTTTTTGTGGGCTAGTATCATATATAACACTTGTTTGTATAAAGTTCTTCGATTAAAATGTTGTGGGGAAGTTTTTTTTTTCCCAAAAACACTTACAGAGATAACTGAACAGACGCGTTGTTTGTCTTTGAAAACCGTTGAATTCTATTCACCATCTTCACAAAATTCGGCCACTAATTAAAACCCAAAATTCGACTTTTCAAAATTTGAACAAAATTTTCTCAAATTCTTTCAGTTTTTAACTATACACGAACCACAATCTTCCAAAAATGAATTAAGAGTTTCTTATTTTAATGGGATAATAAATTTGAATTTTANTGGAAGACTCTATATATCTTCGTGAGAGATTCGCAATTTTCAGTCAAAAGCTTAGGGGGGACGAGGTCGTGGTGGTTGATCGAAACACGTTGCAGATCTTGACGGTGAGGTGGGTGATCGTACTCGTGCCTGTTACCTTGACGAATGAGATGTATGGAGTTGATTAGTGTACGGTAATTTCAAATGTTGTTTATCATTTTATTGTTGTTTCAATCTTATGTACCAAATAGTTATTATTAATTTCTAAAAGTGTGTTTAGGGCAAAAATTAAATTTGGGTAAAATAAAATGAGTAAAAAACTTCATTTGATATGAATCTCTATAATGGGAAAAAAAAAAAAAAAAAAACAATTTCATACTTAAATCTTTCTAAAAAAAATTCTTTTCTTTAATATTTTTTCATCCAAATTGTTCCATATTGCGAAACCAAAATTGGAACTCGAAGGAGGAAGCCTGAAATTGTTCTAGATTACAAAACCAGATTGGCTGTGAAGCCTGAAGGAGGAATGAAGTGGAATTCGAAGGCCAGGACTGAAGTGGAATTCGAAGCCTAAAACGAGGAAGGAGGAAGTTTTTGGCGGTGAAGAAGCTTTTGGCAGTTTGCACCATAGTTTTAAGGGTTTTTTGTGGGCTAGTATCATATATAACACTTGTTTGTATAAAGTTCTTCGATTAAAATGTTGTGGGGAAGTTTTTTTTTTCCCAAAAACACTTACAGAGATAACTGAACAGACGCGTTGTTTGTCTTTGAAAACCGTTGAATTCTATTCACCATCTTCACAAAATTCGGCCACTAATTAAAACCCAAAATTCGACTTTTCAAAATTTGAACAAAATTTTCTCAAATTCTTTCAGTTTTTAACTATACACGAACCACAATCTTCCAAAAATGAATTAAGAGTTTCTTATTTTAATGGGATAATAAATTTGAATTTTAAACATTTTCTTTCCTTTTTCTAAAATCTCTCCCACATAGTTATAATTTATCTTTCCTAAAATTTCTCTCACATAACTATAATTTATCTTTGTATTTAATTGACCCTATCTAAAATTTTCTTTCTCTCTCTTAATTATAAATTATAGCCTAAAATCTCTCAATTAATTAGCTAAAATTAGTGTCACTTTGTATTGTTATACTTTGATGTTACACTACTATTCATTAAAAGAAAAGTATATAGATTTCACATTTGTGATATTACATTATGTGATGCATACTATTTAGATTAGGTATGAATCAGTGAATATACTTTTATAATTTTTGTTAGTGATTAAATTGTTGATGAATGCAATGATATCAGAACCGGACCCCTGTTATCGAATTGGCAAGAGGACCGCGTCAATGGTTTACTGGTTCAACCATTGGATCAACTGGTCGAATCGGTCATATAATAAAAAATATATATAATAATTATAAAACATAATAATTTAGTTAAAAATATAAAATATATCTAAAATGCATACAATTTGTCATAAAATTAATATAAAATGTCTAAAACGCATATACTACTCCAAAAAATGATATGTATTTAATTTATTATTTTTGAATTTAATTTGATTTCTTTAGCATTTTTCAAGGCATTGTTACACGGAAATTAATGCTTAGAGGGAAATGACACAAGGCACAAGGTCCTCTTTCATTAAAGTCTCACCCAACTTTGCCCATCCACTTTCCTTCGTCGACTACAACTGCAAGCCCCACAATTCAAACAAACTTTTTTTACCATAGAAAACAACATTGCTCAATACAAGAAACTTCAGTTCAAAAAAAAAACAAGAAATTTCACAAAAACACCACAGCCATTTTTAGTCTATCAAGAATTTTCTCCACTTTTTTCATAGATCACCACTGGACTAAACCATTTTACCTTAATGAAGCTACTGCGTTATGTTCTCACTTCACATTCTTAGGCTTCTTTGCCTTCTACGATTTAGGGCAAAATTAAAATGGTCCAAATAAAAAAAACAGGTTGTTTGAGCTATCGCTTGAGTGCCTCGCAGTTCCCTTCGATGGTCGCCTGAGCTGTCACCTGAGTGCATCACAATTGCCGGTCGCCTGAGTGCCTCGCAGTCCCCTTCGATGGCCGCCTGAGCTGTCGCTTGAGTATCTCTCAATCGCTGGTCGCCTGAGTGCCTCATAGTCTTTGGTAGCCTCATGTCTGTAAAAGATGAAGGGAAAGGCTATGTTGTTTGTATTTGTGCCTTCAGGGCAAAAAAATGGCTCAAATAAAAAAATATCCTAATTTAAGGTCCTTATTGCATCAAACCGTTTGATTCTGATAACACTGAATGAATGTGTTAGACTGTCATCTATCACTGTAATGTCATGTTATAAATGATGATGACCCCAACGTTAAAATAGACGTTGGTTTTATTTAGATCTTTCATCGTTTATGGATGATTTAAACGTTAAAAAAAAAAAAAGAATCTTCTAGATTAGGAAATTACCTATCAATAAAACCAAATCTCATATAAAAAACAACTAGGGAAAGAGTGTTATAGTAAAGAAATTAATAAAAAAAACTGTCGTTGTGTATATCTGTATAATATATTTCAATCTGATGGTACTTATCTACAACATAATTTTTTCAAGATCATTTCTCACAAAAAAGCCTTTCACAAGGTACTTATCCACAATTTTTCATAGTTTTAAAACTCGGTCCGAATATCAACCCGGCAAAAAGACGGGGTCAATGGATTACTGGTTCAACCGTTGAGTCACTGGTCATATAATAAAAAAATAATAAATAATTATAAACAATAATAAATTGGCTAAAAAATCACAATAATTATAAAAATAGTATCAAACATTTAAAGTAAACAAAAATCGTCAAACATATTTCCAATGAATTTAATTTCTAATACAACTTATAAAGCTAAGTAGAGAAAAATATCTCTATTTAAGTTCAACTGTTCAAAATTCCAAGGCCAAGTCTTTGACNCCTCAAACATTTTTCCAATGAATTTAATTTCTAATACAACTTATAAAGCTAAGTAGAGAAAAATATCTCTATTTAAGTTCAACTGTTCAAAATTCCAAGGCCAAGTCTTTGACTATGCATTAATCCTAAACCTAGTAGGACCGAAGGGTGTGAACAAGGAGTCTCCAAGCTCAAATTCAAGGGTGTGATAGCAAGCTATCTCTAATGGCTACTATAGTAGCAGGACAGCTCGTAAAAAGTCACATGAAATACAATAGATCAAGCAAAGATGTCACCAAAGTACCACCCTCCTAAAGAGGGTATATTCATGTCATTTAGTGTATAAAATACAAACCAAAAATCAGTGTGCTCAATGTATAAAATGCAAATCTTCAATCATTCATTCAATGCATAAAAATACAAACCATTACAATAAATGAATCAATGTATATAAAATCAGTGGCGAGTCTCGTATGTGATAGTCTAACCCGGATTAAGTATATAGTTCCCTTCCTGGTCTGGGTTAGGGTTCCAAACCTGCCCTATCCCTTAAAGCCCCAGAGCTCTAGGTCTACTTCTACCTAGATACATACAGCTTGCCTTACCACCATTTCAGAGCCAAGCCTCCTTTTCTGATAGAGGGAAGTGAGAAAGAAATGGATTTTAGGATCGCCTAATTCAATAGCTCAAAAATAGGTGGAGTTCGCCCTTTAAAGCATAGTTAAGTGTTGCAACAGGGGGGTTGTTCAGCGAACGGGAAGCAAAGTCTCCATACCAACATTGAAGGCTTCGCAGTTACCCAGAAGAGATCCTTACTCTACTCTATAGGGGTGCTAGCGCTTGACTAATATAATAGATAGATAGATAGAAAGTAAAGTCAAGTCAAGTAAAGTCAAGTAAAGTCAAGTCAAGTAAAGTCAAGTCAAGTAAAGTCAAGTCAAGTAAAGTAAAGTAAAGTCAAGTCAAGTCAAGTAAAGTAAAGTAAAGGCTCTTCTTCTGTTCTAACTATAGTCAGACTAGGTCTTCTAGAGTGAACTAGCATAGTAGAGTTTCTATATTTTGTGCTACTAGAACCATAAGCCGCACTATACTATACTTGACTGAACCTCCTTACGCCGATTCAAATAAGGCAATAAGAGAGGCCCTCTTTAATACATTCGCGTCAGCTTCGAGGGCGCCTTTTCCTTAAGCATTTCTTTCTCCATCTAAGGTCAGGGAGGAACCTGAGGGAAAAACCGCTTTCTTACCAATTAGAAGGAAGAAAGAAGGAGCCGCTGGTCCCGGGAAACGAAGTACGCTTTGGTGAGCGAGAAGCAGCCAGATATAGGAGAAGGGGCGGTTAGCTTAGTAAAGAGAGTATATAGTTCCACTTGGTGAATAGTGCCTCGGCTCGCAGCGGACTTATTCTAGTGGAAAGACATTTCTCTCTGGGAAAAACACATAAGATTTGTTCGCTAGAGCTCATCACTGAAGAATAATGGTGGCTTGACTTTTTGGAATTAGAGAAGAACTTCTTCGCGTGGGCGGCGTACGTACAAGGCTGTTCGGACTCCCTCTTGTATGAGGTGCGTTGCCATCGTCTCTTTCCCCTTTGCCAGGTTACGCGGCATGGATTCGTCGATTGACGAATCGGATCTTGGCTCGCTGTCCCGCCGACGAACCAGTCTAGAAGTAGAAAGGGAAGGCAATAGAAAGAGGTCTCCCTTCCTCCCTCTGTTTGTCTTCTTCTCGCTGTTTTTCTCGTCCATCTTGCCCTGCGCCGCTTACAGATTCAGTTGCAGGTATCTAAGCATCCATTAGTGTTGGGGGTTGGGGCGCGAAGCGCAAACCGCTCTTCGATCTCCCGGTGAGTTGGACGGGAACGAGACACAGGGGGTTATCTATGAAGCATTTGAATTGCCCCTTTTTGTTGGAATAGTTGAAAGTCTTCTTCTTAGGGGATTTTCTCTTTTCTTATCAACATAGAGTTGGAACTTAGCCGTGTAAGTAGTGAGTGGACCAGTGTGAAGCTTTAGTTTCGTTGCCGGCCAGAGCTCTTAGTTGACGACCGGCTACCCTTTTCGAGCTCAGCTGACCCCTTCTTGATTCAGTTTTTTCCCTATTTGAGATAGATGAATCAATGGAACTTTGATCCCACGTTCCTGCTTGGTCAATTCCTGGAAGGCCCCTCTTAATGTAATGATTGAACAATCAAAGTGCGTTTGCCGNATCGAGAAGCAACCAGATATAGGAGAAGGGGCGGTTAGCTTAGTAAAGAGAATATATAGTTCCACTTGGTGAATAGTGCCTCGGCTCGCAGCAGACTTATTCTAGTGGAAAGACATTTCTCTCTAGGAAAAACACATAAGATTTGTTCGCTAGAGCTCATCACTGAAGAATAATGGTGGCTTGACTTTTTGGAATTAGAGAAGAACTTCTTCGCGTGGGCGGCGTACGTACAAGGCTGTTCGGACTCCCTCTTGTATGAGGTGCGTTGCCATCGTCTCTTTCCCCTTTGCCAGGTTACGCGGCATGGATTCGTCGATTGACGAATCGGATCTTGGCTCGCTGTCCCGCCGACGAACCAGTCTAGAAGTAGAAAGGGAAGGCAATAGAAAGAGGTCTCCCTTCCTCCCTCTGTTTGTCTTCTTCTCGCTGTTTTTCTCGTCCATCTTGCCCTGCGCCGCTTACAGATTCAGTTGCAGGTATCTAAGCATCCATTAGTGTTGGGGGTTGGGGCGCGAAGCGCAAACCGCTCTTCGATCTCCCGGTGAGTTGGACGGGAACGAGACACAGGGGGTTATCTATGAAGCATTTGAATTGCCCCTTTTTGTTGGAATAGTTGAAAGTCTTCTTCTTAGGGGATTTTCTTTTTTCTTATCAACATAGAGTTGGAACTTAGCCGTGTAAGTAGTGAGTGGACCAGTGTGAAGCTTTAGTTTCGTTGCCGGCCAGAGCTCCTAGCCGACGACCGGCTACCCCTTTCGAGCTCAGCTGACCCCTTCTTGATTCAGTTTTTTCCCTATTTGAGATAGATGAATCAATGGAACTTTGATCCCACGTTCCTGCTTGGTCAATTCCTGGAAGGCCCCTCTTAATGTAATGATTGAACAATCAAAGTGCGTTTGCCGCGACTACGAGCTGCCAGTGCGCCTTTCTTTGGGTCGCTACGCTCGGGGTCGAGAACTGGTTCAAAAGTAGAAGGTGGTCCAAAACGAGCTAACGCGAGTTTTCGAACGACGCTTTTCCCCTTTTTGAACATCACTGAGATAGGCTTTTCCCCGAACCATTGACCCTTGTTCGGGAGGGAGAAGTTGATTCATTCAATGGAGCTTTATTTGTTTGATCTAGTAAGGGGGTGTTAGAAATAAGCCACCGCCCGACGAAACAGCGGTTTAAAACAGAGCGACCCGGGACATCGAGCGAAGAGCTCCAATGCGCATATTCGGAGCTACGAGGATGCCGTAGTCGCAGAANGTGTCATGGATTCGTCGATTGACGAATCGGATCTTGGCTCGCTGTCCCGCCGACGAACCAGTCTAGAAGTAGAAAGGGAAGGCAATAGAAAGAGGTCTCCCTTCCTCCCTCTGTTTGTCTTCTTCTCGCTGTTTTTCTCGTCCATCTTGCCCTGCGCCGCTTACAGATTCAGTTGCAGGTATCTAAGCATCCATTAGTGTTGGGGGTTGGGGCGCGAAGCGCAAACCGCTCTTCGATCTCCCGGTGAGTTGGACGGGAACGAGACACAGGGGGTTATCTATGAAGCATTTGAATTGCCCCTTTTTGTTGGAATAGTTGAAAGTCTTCTTCTTAGGGGATTTTCTTTTTTCTTATCAACATAGAGTTGGAACTTAGCCGTGTAAGTAGTGAGTGGACCAGTGTGAAGCTTTAGTTTCGTTGCCGGCCAGAGCTCCTAGCCGACGACCGGCTACCCCTTTCGAGCTCAGCTGACCCCTTCTTGATTCAGTTTTTTCCCTATTTGAGATAGATGAATCAATGGAACTTTGATCCCACGTTCCTGCTTGGTCAATTCCTGGAAGGCCCCTCTTAATGTAATGATTGAACAATCAAAGTGCGTTTGCCGCGACTACGAGCTGCCAGTGCGCCTTTCTTTGGGTCGCTACGCTCGGGGTCGAGAACTGGTTCAAAAGTAGAAGGTGGTCCAAAACGAGCTAACGCGAGTTTTCGAACGACGCTTTTCCCCTTTTTGAACATCACTGAGATAGGCTTTTCCCCGAACCATTGACCCTTGTTCGGGAGGGAGAAGTTGATTCATTCAATGGAGCTTTATTTGTTTGATCTAGTAAGGGGGTGTTAGAAATAAGCCACCGCCCGACGAAACAGCGGTTTACAACAGAGCGACCCGGGACATCGAGCGAAGAGCTCCAATGCGCGTATTCGGAGCTACGCGGATGCCGTAGTCGCAGAAGCCGGATCAACATCATGACAACGGCATTCTGGAAACCGTTGGGCCAGCCACAATTGGTCTAATGTCTGGGTGCGTATGGCGGTACACTGAGAGCACCTTTCAAGTCGGTTGAAAAAGAAAGAAAGAAAGAAAAAAGGGTTTCGTCGTCTTTTTTTTGATTGCGAAGGGATTTGAGGCCGGTTTTCAATTCGCTTCTCTCTCTCCGGCGATGTTTGAACTTCGCGTGGTGGGAAGGCCTTCACGATTCGCATCTTCCCGTCCAGCAAAGAAAGTGAAGGGGAGCGGACAACGAGTTGGAGGACGCTGCAGAACTGCGTGATTGATCCATCTGTGTTATTCCCTAATTGAAGAAAGTTGGAAAGCCTTCAGAGCCCCTACTAATCTATTCTATTATAAAGGCCCTACCATTCTATTTCAAAAAATGAAAGAAAGCTGACTAGCAATCGCTCGTTTTTCTTATTAGCATGGGATTGGATGTTAATAATGAAAGACAGAACTTATATTCTAAGGCAATCCCCGGGGAATTCCTATCGATTTCCGATGGATAACAATCGCTTTCGCTCTTTCTCCCAATCAATCGCGAGGGTTNTATTAATAATAAAAGACAGAACTTATATTCTAAGGCAATCCCCGGGGAATTCCTATCGATTTTCGATGGATAACAATCGCTTTCGCTCTTTCTCCCAATCAATCGCGAGGGTTCCGGGCATGAGAACGCAAGTGCCGGAATCAAACAAAAGGTCCGAACGTCCGAGGACGAAAGAAAAAATGCTCCGCGGGGAACTCGTTTCATGTCGGCGTATTCGTGCCGGTTAGACGTCGGCCATGAAATCCATCACTATACCGAGCAGATCACGGGCATTCACATCTATTTCTATAGAGCAAAGGGAACTGTGCGCGATTCTCTCGTGAAACGCCTTCAGTAAGGTATGGCATTCAGGGTCTGAACCCGGGGATCAATCTTTCTTCATAGATACAAGACATTCGTTGCTGATCTAAAAAAGATCTTATCCCGTGGGCGTTAGCGGACGTTTTTCATTCTTCACCCGGTCCTTAGTAGCGTTTCTAAAGTCAACCTAACCGGTTACCCGTGGAAACGCGCTAAACAGGCCTATGCAATAGGTTCGCCTTTCTAATAGAAGAAGTATAATTAGATAGAAGTATATAGAATTAGCCAGATCGTTTGAAGCATGAACAGAATCGCCTTTGTTCCGAAGGCCTAGCGAGTTCCTTCTTTTTTTTTTCAAAGGCGGTCCTTTTCTTTCAGAACCTCGGACCGATGACTCGCTTGTTCAGTACTGCTAACTATTATAGGAGGATGCCGTCCCCTCGGGACTACCAGTAGCTTCGGTTGTTGAATCTCGTGCAAGTTAGGTTGTGGTTGTATTGGCTGCAAGCGGAACGTAGGCGTTTTAGGTGTGTGTTGACCATGCATTCTCGCGTCATGTAATGTCGTATGAATGATAGAGGTGGTATGGTGATTGACCTCAATGCTAATGGTTATCCCCAAGGCTCAACGAATGAATGAAGCTATGATCGTACCCAGATAGAGATGATGGTCTTCCTCTGATGTCTCCAAGCCGGCCATAATAGAATAGAATAGATAGGCGAAGCAGCCAATAGCAGTCTGTTCTCGCCTATCGATAGATAGCAGGTTGCTTCCAAGCTCAAACTGAAACTGAATTGCGACTTTTTCTTGTTATTGATAGAGTGGTATTCTCCGCCCCTGTCAAATAAAGTAGAGGGAGAGAACTGGAAGAGAGAAAGAAAAAGAGCAAAGGATTTACAAGTCTAATGGGATAAAAATGGCTGACACCTTGCCCTGATTGAATTTGGCTTCGATACTAGAAATATACCCTAAGCGGTCTAAACCCCCGNGTGGTCTAAACCCCCGGGCTCGGGCGGACCCCAATCGAAAGGCGCTAGACGGACTAACAGCAAGCGAGATAAAGAAAGCAGCTAGCCCTATGTGTAAAACCTTACCGCGGGAGAGCTCATATTCAAACTCCAATGAGAATAAATCAAGTTTTTGGACAAGACAAGAAAGGAACTCGCCCTTTGACACCAAGGGATAAGAGCTGATTGCTGGCGATGACTTGGTGAAGGGAATCTATGAGAGAAGGTTCTCGAACCGGGTTCTGACCGAATAGAGCGCGGAGCCAACGAGTTCAGTCGAACAACGTCACGAGTCTAAGGGCGGGATCAAGCTTGAAAGGAATGGACGGGCGTAGGCTTAATAGTGAACGCAGACCCCCCTGCTTATAGATATGAGATCAATGACTTAAAAGCCCTATATTATTAGTCAAGTGTCGAGAGAAACTGTTAGACTTCTTTATTGCGTTGCGAAGAGAGATCGAAGACGAAGATTTTCTGACCCAAACACAAGGGGGCGGGCACTGGATGGAAAAGACAGAGAAGGGAACAACCCACCGGAAGGGCATACCCCAAGGAGCACCAATCTCCCCCGGCAAACATCTATCTGCAGGAAGCCGACCTATGGATAGAAAGAAAGATGCAGGAAAGGAAAATGAAATATGAAAGAAAAAGATGCTTTGGGGGTGTGAGATACGCGGACGGGGAGTACGCAGCCGAACAACCGCAGGGGCTTCCAGCAGTGATAGCTGAACTAACCAGATGGGCCGCCCAAAACTTGGAGTTGACATTTCAATCGGAAATCAACGTCGGATCCCGGCTATCCGAAAAACGCAGACTGAAGCGGAGGATCACAAAATGCAACACAACAAGGGGCGAACCAAGCGCTTGCGCGAAGGAAGAAGCGAATCAATCAGAATGGAGACAGGGAGGAGAGGCGAAAGAGAGATTTTCGAGCCTGCAAGCAGCAAGCAACAACGGCTGAAAAGCCGTTGCGCGCTAGCTTGTAGTTTAGGGGTATAGTAGGGGTGCTCCTTTCTCAAACTTTTCTTTCATATAAATAAGGTAAGCTTTTTGGAACCCTAGTTTTGGAGTTTTCCCCAACCTATACCTTACTAATAAATAAAAAGGGGCTTACGTTTTTCAGCTGCATTGCACTGCCGCATAAACAATGGATCCGCTGGGCTGGATGAGCAACCTTCTCTGGAAAGAAATAGTGAAAAGCTTAGATAAATACACTTGGAACTGGTTGCTTACTTACTTACTTTCTTTTAGTAAGACCACTTTTTTGGTAAGCAAAATTCGATTATGATTATATAGGCATGGTTATTTACAAGACAAAAGCTAGCTTCTATATGTTCTTCGCCTGAACATATAGAAGAAGCAACCTTCTATCTGGCCTCTGTACCAGTAGTGGAGTGGCTTGCTACTTTCAATCAGAAAAGGAAGATTGAGCAAGGCAAAGGAGAAAGAAGTTGTCCCCTCTTCTCTGGTAACCCGCCGCCGCATATGTAGAAAAAAAGGGAGCGGGGAAGGAAGAACAACCCTTTGACTTTGGCACATGAGGTGGCGGGTTTGGCTAGGTAACATAATGGAAATGTATTGGACTGCAAATCCTGGAATGACGGTTCGACCCCGTCCTTGGCCTCGAGGAGTGGTGAGCAGCACGGAACTTGAATCAATCAAATGGCATATAGGGGGCTTTCCTTTGTTAGAAATCCACAGACAACATTCTGGAACTTCCAAACCAAAGAAATGCAACATGAGAAGGAGCTTTTTACGTTACGCTTCAATAGAATGAATTCGGTAAGGGTAGAATACGCCCTATGGTCGATTGAAGGTCCTGTGCCACTTGAACTCAAATCTATCTTACCTTCAATCCATCTTTGTCCAGCCAGCTCATAACAAAATGTTAGACCAATCTCAGGGCTGACACAACCGAATTGGTTGAGGAAAAGGAAACCCCAGCGACCAAGCNCCTATGGATAGAAAGAAAGATGCAGGAAAGGAAAATGAAATATGAAAGAAAAAGATGCTTTGGGGGTGTGAGATACGCGGACGGGGAGTACGCAGCCGAACAACCGCAGGGGCTTCCAGCAGTGATAGCTGAACTAACCAGATGGGCCGCCCAAAACTTGGAGTTGACATTTCAATCGGAAATCAACGTCGGATCCCGGCTATCCGAAAAACGCAGACTGAAGCGGAGGATCACAAAATGCAACACAACAAGGGGCGAACCAAGCGCTTGCGCGAAGGAAGAAGCGAATCAATCAGAATGGAGACAGGGAAGAGAAGCGAAAGAGAGATTTTCGAGCCTGCAAGCAGCAAGCAACAACGGCTGAAAAGCCGTTGCGCGCTAGCTTGTAGTTTAGGGGTATAGTAGGGGTGCTCCTTTCTCAAACTTTTCTTTCATATAAATAAGGTAAGNTCCCCGGCCGACCGAACTAATGGTAACTTCATGGAATCGTCCAATATGTATCTATATATATATATATATATATATATATGTATACTTTGTGATCATCAGCCAGGCAAGCATACAGAGAGGCTAGAAAAGCAGAGTGCAAGAAAAGGGGAAGGAGATGGGGAGATTACAAGTGGTTGATCAGAGAGAGAAGCTGAAGAGGAGAGAGAAAGCTGAAGGAGGAGGATGTCCCTACTGCGGTGGGTTGGTTCTNGAATAAGTCGGGCCGCGTCGGGCCGAATTTTAAAACACTGGTTTGCTCAGTGATTTGGGCAAAAACCCTTGTTGGCAATGAAGAAGTCTTCTGTCTTTATTCCCTCAATTTGGGTCAAGAAAAGGGTTTCCCTTATTTTGATATAGATTTGGGTTAAAAATTGGAGATGATTTTTAAAGTTTTTTTTACTTAAATTTAAATTTGATTTTGATTTTGAGTAAGGAGTAGAAATGACCTTAAAACCCACACTTATATTGTAAAAACGTGTGTTTACTATATTTTATTTAACCGTATTTCTACAGTTAATTTTTCAATTGCAGACGAACCTCACCCCTTTAAAGAGACCTTAATGTTGTGGTTTTGAATTTTGAAATCTGATTATAAAACTTTGCTTCCACATCTGATTAAATTCTTTATTTTTTTTTTTTTTGGGTCCACAACCAAAGCTGACATATAAGAAAAAGTAGTTGCTGTTTCTGGTTGAACTGAGCCAACCCAGTCCAAAAAATAGTGGAGCCTACACACTCAACGTTGCCGACTTTTGTGCATTCATCTTCCAGGAAATTATGACAAAACGCGTTAAAGTATTAGTGGGACCCCTTGGGAAAGCGAAAAAATAAAAAAATAAAACGCGTTAAGTATAGATCATTCAAATCAAATGTTCTTAGTACATTCTCCGAAACTTCCCGGCCGACCGAACGAACTAATGGTAACTTCATGGAATCGTCCAATATGTATCTATATATATATATATATATGTATACTTTGTGATCATCAGCCAGGCAAGCATACAGAGAGACTAGAAAAGCAGAGTGCAAGAAAAAGGGAAGGAGATGGGGAGATTACAAGTGGTTGATAAGAGAGAGAAGCTGAAGAGGAGAGAGAAAGCTGAAGGAGGAGGATGTCCCTACTGCGGTGGGTTGGTTCTGGCTATGGACTACGATACCCAACTAATTGTTTTCTGTGTTCCTCTCTCTCACAAAACCAAACGCAAGTTCTTATGCACCTTGTGCTCCAGACGCCTAGTTCCCTCTTGCTAAGCTTAGTCCTAAAAGGCCTACCTAAACTAAGCTTATTATTATTGTTATAGCTCATGGAGCTCTGTCTATGCGTATTTTACGTATGTACTCTGTTGAAAGTTTATCATATAACTAATAAAATTTATTGAAAAATTTACGTCACGTTTGGTTTACTTTTTGGAAATTATTTTTTGTTCTCAAAATTTTAAAAATACTTAAAACTTGTTTGTTTAGTATTTTTATTTTTTAAATTTTTAAGAAAAAATAAGATTTGAATAAAAAAAAAACAAAAAATAAGTGTAATTAAAAATCATTAATTAATTGAGAAAATTGATTTTCAATTTGAGAAGTTTGAAATCACCTCTATCTTATTAGTATAAATGAGATAGAGAGAGAAAGAGAGTTAAAAAAGAGATAGGAGTCTTAAAAAATTTTGGCATGAGGACCGTCGAATTAATAATCGATAAGAAATCTGAACCGCGAAAAGCTATAGATAANATCTATTATATTTATATACTAGTAATTGTCCGTGCCTAAAGACACAGAGTAATAAAAAAAAATTGTGGTTAATTTAAAGACATACCAAATCAAAATAATTGGTGTAACACATAAAACTAACTGTTTAACAATACTACTATCAACAATATATTATATATAGTTATGACTATATACGTGAATATCAAACCAAAATAATTGGTTTAACACATAAAAATCTCAGTAATTAATATAAACCAACTTTGATCTTTAAAAAATTTTTGATAGAATTCTCCTTGAAAATATGATCTAATTGACAATATCAATCTGTGTGTACAACTCATAATCAAACCTTTCTATAAATAAATATTACCTTAAATCAATAATCTTGTCACATTACGTTAATATTGCTATTACCATTGTTTATCAACTGCTGCAATTTAATAATTCAAAACATCTAATACAAAATGAATAAGATACAAATTATAAACTAAATTAACACTAAACTGAGACTAATATTAATAATTAAATACATTCACTCATCCCGTAGAAGCCAAATAACCTGTAAAATTAATATATTGTGACTCCTAATTAGTTGTCATGCTTCAAGGTACTTTATAATACAAAAAAAAATCATTAATTAAAATTCACTAATTATTAATTAAAATCATTAATTAATTGAGAAGATTGATTTTCAATTTGAAAAGTTTGAAATCACCTCTATCTTATTAGTATAAATGAGATAGAGAGAGAAAGAGAGTTAAAAAAGAGATAGAAGTCTTAAAAAATTTTGGCATGAGGACCGTCGAATTAATAATCGATAAGAAATCTGAACCACGAAAAGCTAAAGATAAAGAAATCTAACTACTATATTATATACTAGTTATTACCCATGCTTGAAGGCACTATATAACAAACAAATTTTTTTTACACAATTGTCCAAATTAAAAAGAATGACCTAAAAATTTTCATACCAATTCTTCTTTTAAAATGAATTAAAATATACCGCCGATCATATCCTCTATATTAATAGAACTGTTGTGAAAATATATAAAACTCTTCAAAATAATACCACATATACAAATGCCTCCGAAAAAAAAAATACTAACTTAATTCATTGAAATTTACAATCTTTAAGTAATAAATAAAATTTTGCTCATTTATAAGACTCGTGAATTTATCACCTTTACCACCATTTAATCCAATAACAAAATACAATTATAAACACAATCACCATATTTTTAATCCACCTTATCCCTATTTAATAAATATCTCAAGCAAAAAAAATAAAATAAAATAACGCAATTAAATTCACAATCTTTAAACGATAAATAAAATCAACTAAATCTTACGCATTTATAAAACCCATGAATTTATCACCACTATTACCATTCAATCCCAAATGGCACGATAAAATTATAAATTTAATTACCAAATTTTTAATCCTTCACATATAAATTACACAGAAACATACTCTCACATTTATTTTTTGGCTACCAACAAACCTTCCTAACTGATAACTGTTTTTATTAGAAATATAATAATTAAAGTTTTTATGATAAAATAATAATAAAAAAATATCTAATTAAAAAATAGGGTAAAAAATACGGACTTCTCCTGAGTTTTGACAATATTATGTGGACACCCCCAAATATTTTATAAATAACACGGAGATCCCTGGAGATTAAAATTTATTACACAAAGACCCCTCTGTCTCCCTTCCTTCAATATTGCTAATGAAAAGTGATCACTTTATCACCCAAAAAAAATTATTATTTTTATAATTGCCTGTCTCCAACTTTAGTAGCCCAAAAAATTAAAAATTAATAAAATAAAATAACATTTGATTTAGTACCCAAAAAATTGATATAATTTAGTACCCCAAAAAATTGATTAAATGAGTTTAAATATTAATTTGATAACAATAAAATTTAATTTGATATTAATTCAAAAAATTTGAATATAAATTGGACAAAATTAAATGTCAATTTTTTATAAAAATATATATTAATTTATAATTTAAAGTTCATTTTGTGTTGAATATTATTTGTTGTTGATTAAACCAACATGAAATTGACCTTAAATTATAATTGTTTTTGTTGTATATAAACATTAAAATTTGTATTTTAACCCATAAAATTTAAATACAGATTTTTTCACACCTTAGCGTATTCTTTCTTTCTATATCATTTGATATATTTTGTTTTGGTCAAGATTCAACCGCACATACTTAAACCAAACCAATGGTTCACCCCCACTTTTTTTTTAAAAGAATCACTCATCTTCGCTTGTTAAACTCAAAAATCCCTAGTTCACATAAAAATAAGTGAAAAAAAATTAAAAAGTTGACAAAAAATTTTGAAAAATTGATAGTTTGAAATAATTTAAAAAATTTAGTACCAAAGTTATAACAAATAGAGCAAATATTAAAAAAAAACTAAAAAAACAATATATATAAAAACCATTATCCATGAGAATTTTAGAAGAATTTAGGCCCTGAATTAATTAAGACTTAATTTCAAGCACAGATGTGAAACTCAGATAAAAAAAACCTCAAATCGTGAAGTGTTATTTTTAGTTACATTAAGTGTTATTTACAAATTAAGAAGCAAGTGACAAAATACATGTTGTCAAATATATAAAATTTTGAATTAATTTTATGGAATAAATAATTGTATAACATGTAATTTCATATGTTTTATGGAGTAAATAATAAAAAAATAACACTTGGAAAACATAAAAAATAAGATAATAATATGAGAGAGTGAGAGAGAATATAAGATAGATATAAAGAGAGTTAAATAAGTGATAGGAGTCTTGAAAAAAGTTGGTATGAAAATCGTCAGATCAATAATCGTCAAGCGATCTGAGCCACGAAAAGTTAAAGATAAAGAAATCTAGCTACTTTATTATATATATATATATATAAAGAGAGAGAGAGAGAGAGAGAGAGAGAGAGAGAGAGAGAGAGAGAGAGAAAGAGAGAAAGAGAAAGAGGAGATGAGATAGTGTGCTCAAAACTTCTAAAAGATAAGAGAGAGAGAAAGAAAGAGAGAGAGAGTTATATGAGAGATAACGAGTGTTAGAGTTAAGTCTAATTATGATTGTCAGATCAGTATTCATGAGATGATTTGAACTGTCTTTTATGTTGGGATTACGTTGTCTGTTGGA